TGGCGACCCTCATTCATGCAGAGCTTTGATGAACAAAGAGCAGCATCACATTTTCCAGCGGCAGAAAACTCTGCTGTGTGCCGCATCGTTTTCATTTCAGCAGCCTGCTAAATCTATGCAAAAGCCTGGGTCAGAGAGAAGCTTGAAAGAGATGACATCATGCACATTACCACTAAACCTGAGTTGAATATTATCCAGGAGTGAGTAATTTTTAATGAGGCCTTCTGGTATGTCTTGTTTAAACTTGCACATATCTTCAACTTGGAGCCTGCCGAAAAGAAAAACAATACCATTTGGCTCTGTAATTTTTTTATTTTTTTAAAAGCACACCAGAAAAGTGCTAAGAGCCTCATATCTTACCTCTTTTCATCCTCAGGTTTACTCAGTCGACGTGCAAACAGAAAAGGCCAGGGGATTGTTACATTAGGACGCACCTAAGAATAACTTTAGCATTCCTCCAGCAAGTTATCTCAGGAACGTTTCAGCATCACTGCTGGCGGTTGGAGGATGCCCTTCAGATAAGGGCTGTGGCCGCCTCCCCACCATAAGTACAAATTCCATTGGGTGTAAAGAGGATCCTATTTCATCAAGGGGTATTAATGAGCTCTTAAAGAAAGTGGCATATCGCATTCTGGGGTCCCCCCCACAAGGCCATGAGAGATGGCTAGATTGTTTGTCTGAAAATAAAAGCATTTTAGAAACAGATGCTAAAGGTCTGCACTGGAAATATAATGGGTCACCAAGGGAGGAAGCACAGATTTGTGCCCTCTTATTAATTAATTAATTGCAGGGATGTGCTGTTGATCGGTGTTACTTCATCTGTCTTGCAAGCAGAAGGTCCGAGATGTTGGAAGTGCAACAGCAGTGTTCATTCAGTTTGCAAGTTAAGCGTTAACTCTGTTAGTGTTAAGGTCAGTTAACCAAGAGGGATGTGTGTGTGTGTGTGTGTGTGTGTGTGTGTGTGGAGGTGTTGCTTAGCAACCAGTCGGAATGCCATGATCCTCACAGAGTATCAAGTGCTCTGATTGACTGTGTAGTTCTGAGGGAGCTTCTCTTCTGAATGTATGGTTGAATGCCTCCCCACTGTATACAAGGCCCAAACTAAGGAAGACAAAAGCTCTCTTCGTTCTTCCTCAAGTTATACACTGTTTTGTTCAGTTCTGCTTAGTAAAGTGTCATCAAGACTTTTCTCTCTGAACTCTGGTGTTATTTGAGAGATTTTGCTAACACCAGGTTTATTCCCCAGCATTTCTAAGCAGGGCTGGGAAAGAGACCCCTGCCTGAAACCACGGTGAGCCCTGTCAGTCACTGTAGACAATACTGCACTTAGATGGACCAGTGAGTCTGACTTGTAGAAAGCTTATTGTTGTCATCCATGTGTCTCAAGAGACAAAGGAGTGTGTCTCTGGGGTTAAGTCAAACCACTGTGTTAGCAGCACTGAAGTGACCTGTGTATGGAGGTTCTGCGCTGCCCAGACGACAAGACCCCCCTCTTGGCCTTGCTAATGTCGTCCTAAGGAAAGCAAGATGTTTGGCACCAGCTTGGCTGTAGGAGTTGTCAAAAGAAGGCGTACAAGGCACCATCAAACCATCTTAGGGACTCTACTCCAGATTGGTGTAGGGTTTACTCCTTAGTCTTTTCTTCTCCCAAATATATTTCATGAAACAGCAGAGGTTTAGGATCAGAGTTTTCCTTCACCTACATGGGCTACCTTCCCAGGTTGATGATCCCCATCTGCCCCTCACTTCGCTCTGCAGCAGATGCAGAAACTGCCTCCTTGACCGTTGGACCCACTACTGGTCTCATCCGCTCAATCTGCTGGAGCCTGTTTTCACATGCAGAGGAAGTCCCTAACTAACTGATGGTTTTATACCCATTGGATACCCTCATCTGGTTGAGCTGGCCAGTCGAAGCTGTTCCCTGGTGTGGCTGCTGTCGCTTGCTGACAGCTTCTAGGAGCCACAGGTGATAGCTGAGTGCAGGGTGGGGACCAGATGTGGACAAGCTACCCCAGAAGGAGCACAATGTGTCCCCCACCAGAGGTACTTCCCCTCCTCTAAAACCCCACACACCCCTGGTATACAGCAGCTGTCTATATACCGTATTTTTTGCTCTATAAGACTCACTTTTCCCCTCCCAAAAAGTAAGGGGAAATGTGTGTGCGTCTTATGGAGCAAATACAGGCTGCGCAGCTATCCCAGAAGCCAGAACAGTGACAGGGATCGCTGCGCAGCGGTCCCTCTTGCTGTTCTGGCTTCTGGGATAGCTGTGCGAAGCCTCTTCAGGGCAGTGGGAGGAACGCTGGCTTCTGAGATTCAGAATATTATTTTTTCTTGTTTTCCTCCTCCAAAAACTAGGTGCGTCTTATAGAGCAAAAAAATACGGTAATTATTTTTAAATGAATTTGCATGCTATGCAAACCTCCACTGTTTTGAGAGACTGAAGAAAGGGCAAGATAATGTTCCTTTTAAGGACCAAAGGAAGAATGTCCTGGCTGGGGCTGCAGGTCTAGATGTACTCACCTTGTGGGAATGTAAAAAAATGAAAAACTTCTGGGAAATGATATATAATGAGATGAAAAAGATGTTGAAATATACATTTATTAAGAAACCAGAAGCATTTTTACTTGGCATTGTAGTAGATGATGTTAATAGACAGGATTGTAAGTTGTTTTTATATGCAATGACAGCAGCAAGAATATTATTGGCACAAAAATGGAAGCAAGAAGAATTACTGACGAAAGAAGAATGGCAGACGAAAGTGATGGACTATGCAGAATTAGATAAATTAACAGGAAGGATTCGAAACCTGTGGGACCAGAGATTCTTAGAAGATTGGAGTAAATATATGAACTATTTGAAAAGTAATGGTAATGAACAGATCATGCTAGTAGGATTGCAAGAAGTTTTGTAAGGAGGACTATTTGAAATATTGCAAGAAAGACTTTGAGAAGAATTGTTAGTTAATGATAATTAAGAGTAATAGAGAAATTAAGAAATGCAGAATAAGTGATAAAGAACGAAAATCACCAGAGGTGTTGACGGAAGTCTAAAATATTGTATAAGATAAGAAGATATGTTATATGATTGTTGGAAATGATATGTTAAAAAAACCAATAAAAATGTAAAAAAAGAAGAAGATGTACTCACCTTGGTCTGATCCAGTTATAGGGCTCCTCTTATGTCCTAAGGAGCTTTCAAAGACCGCACAGATGCTTTCCAATTCCATAGGCCAAGAATAACTCAAAACTTCAGACAGTGTATACTCATCACGTGAGACAGAGTTCAGAAACACTATCTGGATTAGGCTATCAGAGAAGCCGTATCTCTGAGAAAGCTTAAATTAGCAGGACTTTATTCAGCGAATTCTTTGCAAGGCAGGAACAAGAGGCCACTGTTATCGCAAAGATTACTTTGCATTACCTCTTTCACTTTTAGTCTGCCCCTGAAAAGTAGATAGGGACACAGTGGAAACAGCCTCAAGGAGAGGACCAAGCTTCGACACAGCTCAAAGTTGTGTACTAATTTCTCCCTGAATTTCTCTCTGTGTGTTTGATAATGAAAAGCAGCCACAGGAGGCTACATGCTTGTTGTTGTTTAGTCATCTAGTCGTTTAGTCGTGTCCGAGTGGACCAGAGCACACCAGATACTCCTGTCTTCCACTGCCTCCCGCAGTTTGGTCAAACTCATTTTAGTAGCTTCGAGAACACTGTCCAACCTATTTGGCTATTTTGCAGTCCAGAATGGACTCCTGTGGCTGCAGAAGATGAAAGACGTTGTGGTTTCGGTGACTGGTGGTTTAAGGTGTCGTTTGACCAGGAGAGTTTAAAGTGAATTGGCTTTCTTAAACCTGTTTCCGCAGAGTGAACAGGACCCATTCTTTTGGGTCAGGATGGTTCTGGGCATTTTGCAGCGGGGCGGGGGCTACGGAACAATAGGCTTGCCATATTGTGGACTTGCAAATTTTGATGCCTGGGTGGTGTCAGAAGATGGAGACCAGAGCAGATCTGGTATGGAGCTAAAAGAGCCAAGCCTAGTAGGTCATGGCAGCTCCTAGACTGTGGTGCTGTGGTCTAAACCACTAAGCCTCTTGGGCTTGCCAATCAGAAGGTTGGCGGTTTGAATCCCGTGACGGAGTGAGCTCCCATTGCTCTGTCCCAGTTCCTGCCAACCTAGCAGTTCAAAAGCATGCCAGTGCAAGTAGATAAATAGGTACCGCTGGGGTGGGAAGGAAAATGGCATTTCCATGTGCTTTGGCTTCTGTCACGGTGTTCCACTGTGCCAGAAGTGGTTTAGCCATGCTGGCCACATGACCCGGAAAACTGTCCATGGACAAACGCTGGCTCCCTCACCCTGAAGCGAGATGAGCACCCCATAGTCGCCTTTGACTGGACATAACCATCCAGGGGTCCATCACCTTTTACCTTTTACCTTATTTACCCAGTATGTACAGCAGTAATATAATGGAGCTGGAAGGGGCAGGAATGAAACACCATCACTTATTTCACAGGTACTGTATATCAAGTAGATAAGATTTCTCAGAGAGAGAAAAGCCACCAAATAACCTCAGCAGAGGAAGTGCTACATTGCAATAGCAATGCCATATTTAGTTTGGAAAAAGCCCTAAATCCCAAAATACAGCAGAATTGCATCATTCCAAAAATGCACAAAAATCGTATATGCCCAAACCCTTGGAAGTGCCCTATAGCTGGCGGGTGAGGAGAAGAAAGAGGGAATCCCCAGTACTCCCAGAGCCCACATGCTGAGCAGGCCTTGAACCCCAACCAAGTCAGAGAGCTTTAAAGCTTTTTCCATGCTTGGTAGCCTCATGCACAAAAAGAGCTTTTAGTCTGTCTGCCTCACCTGGATTTAAGTTGCACATTTTCAAGCAGTCTGCCTTCAACCGAGCATGCTTGAAATTGTGCAAGTTAAATATGCAAAAGATGGAATCATACTGTATCACAAAACGGAACACTTCCTCAGGCTGGGTGCTAAGCAAAATGGCAGGGTGTGTGAAGGAAGAAGAAGAAGAAGATGAAGAAGAAGAAGAAGAAGAAGAAGAAGAAGAAGAAGAAGAAGAGGAGGAGGAGGAGGAGGAGGAGGAGGAGGTAGAAGCCAGCTTGATATTGAAGCCAAAAGGTCTTCACTGGTCAAAAATGCATTTTTGTGTTGCCAGATACACCTCTCTGGCGAGGGAGTTCCACAACATGATAAAAATGAGCCATTTCCCTCCCCCATGTCCCAGATCAGCCTTTCCCAACCCCGTGCCCTCCAGATGTTTTGGAGCACTGTCCCCATCAGCATGGCTGTGCTGGCTGGGCCTGATGGGGGTTGTAGTCTCTAACATCTGGAGGGCACGAGGTTGGGGGAAGTCTGCTGTAAGGTAAAAGGTTATTATGAATCAGCTATAATCATTTTAAGAAAAGAATTATCTGCTGGTGCAGATAAGAGCATTACATAAGCGAGATATTGCGAGCTGCCAGCACGAGGAGAGTTGGCAAAAAGATTTGGCCCAGGGCAATTTGCCGATCGGATCCCATCTGTAGTGCCAGAAGAAGAAGAAGAAAATCGTTTCCTAATGAATTTGAATGGAATTCCACACCAGTGGCAGCACTCCAAAGCTAATAGGTTGATCGCTTGGTTTGAATAATGTACGTAAAGGAGCACCTGCCTTTCTAATTTGGGAATAGGGCATGGCTGATGGAGGAAATGAACATGAGAACGAAACATGGGAGAAGCCCTGCTGAATCAGGCCAGAGGCCCATTAGTCCAGCATCCTGTTCTCACCGTGGCCAGCCAGATGTGCATGGGAAGCCTGCAAGCAGGGCATGAGCACAGCAGCACTCTCTGCCCACCTGCGAATACAAGTACAGTGGTACCTTGGGTTACATATGCTTCAGGTTACAGACTCCGCTAACCCAGAAATAGTGCTGCAGGTTAAGAACTTTGCTTCAGGATGAGAACAGAAATCGTGCTCCGGCGGCGCGGAAGCAGCAGGAGGCCCCATTAGCTAAAGTGGTGCTTCAGGTTAAGAACAATTTCAGGTTAAGAATGGACCTCTGGAACAAATTAAGTACTTAACCCGAGGTACAACTGTATCTGTGATATTCAGAGGCAGAGTATAGCCATTGTGGCTAGCAATCATGGACAGCTGCGCCCTCCTTGAATTTGTCCAATCATCTTTTAAGCTATTGAAGTCAGTGGCCATGACTGCCTCTTGTGTGCGAACAAAGTCCATCATTTATACATGGCGTGAAGAAGTACCTTCTTTCATCTGCCCTGTATCTTCCAGATCTAACCTGAATCATGTCCTGATTCTATCCACACTCTCCAGGCATAATTTTATAAACTTATATCGTGTCACCTCTTCCTTGCCTTTTCTCTAGACTAAAATCTCCCAGATGCTGCAGCCTTTCATTGTCCTTCTCTGCATCTTTTCCAACTTTACAATATCCTTTCTGAGCCGAGGTGACCAAAATGGTACACAGTATTCCAAATGCACCCTAGATTTGTATAACAGCCTTGGGAAAGGGGCAGTTTTACTTTCAGTTCTTTTCTTAACTACCTCTAGCATGAATTCGCCTTTTCCACCACTGTTGCAAACTGGGTCAAAGCTTCATGAATGCATGACCTGAAATTCTGCATCCCCCTCAAACTGATGCCAAAGCTTAGTGCTAGTTTTGTGCCATTTTGTGCCACAAACCCTGTGTTTTGTGCCACCCCAAACTGAGTAATGGACGTAGCAAATCAGGGTCACAAGTTAATGCCAAAAAATCCAACCTCGTCTGATTAACTCTGGGTCGCCATTTTCCTTGAACTATCTGCTGTGGCCCCAAGGTCTTGTTCCCCACCAGTGTTCCTAGTCAGTATGGATAATAGTACAGATGAGAGAGCATCTGGAAGATAACATCCTATGACAGGTCCATTCCACACTATGTTGGAACGGGGCCTTTACTGTGATGGCCTCCACACTTCAGAACTCCTTCCATTGCACACCAGACAAGACCTTCTCTGCCGTCTTTTTTGGCATGTGTTCAAGGCGTTCCTCTTTCCACAAGCCTTTAAAATCTTTATCCCAGTTGGTATCTGTCCTGGATCTGAACTGATTTAATGTATATGCTGCTGTTGCTTTAAACTTTTTTATAACTGTTTTCATATATTGTTTTCATATATGTAATTGTTATATATTAAAATGTTGTTGCCAATCGCTTCGGGAAGTGATTCATAAATAACAACAGCAACATTTACGAGATCCTATTGCAAGTGGATGTCAGCTTGGCTGAAAGTAGGCATAGGCTGAGCAGGTTAATTTCATCCAGTTTTAGTATCTCTGGTGCTCTGTCCCAAGTCTCTCTCAACCCTTCTAAAATATTTATCCCATTTAGTATCTGTCTTGGATTTGAACTGATTTTATGCACCAGCTGGTGTTGTTTTAAACTGTTTTTATATTTATAGTTGGTTCCTTAAAACCGTTTTTATATATGTAATTGTTTTAACTGTTTGTTTTGAGATATGCCACATGGGAAATGATTCCCAAATGAAACAAAGTTATTATTATTATTATTGCTACTACTGCTACTATTATTATTTTTTAAAAACTGTGTGTGCCACCATCCTGCTTGCTTTGAGCTGGGCTGAAATTGCCGACAGGAGAGCCTCAGGCATTCTCTACCGTGTTAGCCTGTCTTTGTGTTTCTGGCCACAAACCTTGGCTGGAAGTCGGATGTGGAGAATCCGTACCAAGGAACAGGCGACGCCATTTGCTGAACTTTTGCTAACCCCCCCAAAAGGAGAGCAAAGGGGGATTCCGCTCTTCCTTCCTTCCTTCCTTGTCCTGCCTTCTGCGCTGCCTATCCCTAATTAGTATCTCAGAGGTATCCATGTCAGTATTTTGTAACCTTATTAGAACAGGGAGAGCTTAGCCAGAAGTTCTTGGTGTTTTATTTTTATCGTTTACTCTCCCATCCTGTCCGTAACACAATTGCCTTCTGAGCCAAGCTGCCTGGGTGTTCCGAGGAGAAGGGGCCAAACTCCATTCTCCAGAGTTATACAGACATAACCCACTTTAAAAGTTGGCCTGTGAAGACACAGAGGAAAGCGCCTGAAGGTGTTGGTGTTTTGGGGTGGGGTGAGGGGATGACTACATAGCCTAAACTGGCTATAAGCAATGGTGGCCGCTGCCCATTGAGACTCCATCACAGCACACAGAAAGTGGATTAAGATTTTCCTCTCTCTCTCTCAACACAAGAACCTGGGGACATTCAGTGAAGCCAAATTACAGATTAAAAAAGAAAGGACTTATTCACATAGTGCCTCATTAAACTATGGAACTCACTCCCACAACAGAGATGACCACCAACCTGGATGGCTTGAAAAGAGCAAATTCAGGGAGGAAAAGGCTGTCACTGGCTGATAGTGACTACGATGATTGTGCTCTGCCTCCGTGGCTGGAGGTTGAATTCATGCTTCTGAATACCAGTTGCTGGTAGCTCAGTTAGTTAGAGCATGGTGCTGGTAACACCAAGGTTGCAGGTTTGACCCCCATATGGGACAGGTCAAATGCATTCCTGCGTTGCAGGGGGTGATCCTCAGGGTCCCTTCCAACTCTATGATTTTATGGTATCTATGCAGCAGCTAGACTGGTGACTGCGAGTGGCCGCCAATACCATATTACACAGGTCCTTAAAGACCTTCATTGGCTCCCAGTACGTTTCCAAGCACAATTCAAAGTGTTGGTGCTGACCTTTAAAGCCCTAAACGGCCTCGGCCCAGTATACCTGAAGGAGCGTCTCCACCGCCATTGTTCAACCCAGACACTAAGGTCCAGCTCCGAGGGCCTTCTGGTGGTTCCCTCACTGCGAGAAGTGAGGTTACAGGGAACCAGGCAGAGGGCCTTCTCAGTAGTGGCACCCACCCTGTGGAACGCCCTCCCATCAGATGTCAGTGAAATTAACAACTACCTGACTTTTAGAAGACATCTGAAGGCAGCCCTGTTTAGGGAAGTTTTTGAGGTTTTACAGTGGTACCTCAGGTTACAGACGCTTCAGGTTACAGACTCCACTAACCCGCAAGTAGTACCTTGGGTTAAGAACTTTGCTTCAGGATGAGAACAGAAATCGCGTGGTGGAGGTGCAGCGGCAGCAGGAGGCCCCATTAGCTAAAGTGGTACCTCAAGTTAAGAACAGTTTCAGGTTAAGAACGGACCTCAGGAATGAATTAAGTTCTTAACCCGAGGTACCACTGTATTCTGTTTTTAGTGTTCTGTTGGGAGCTGCCCAGAGTGACTGGGGAAACCCATCCAGATGGGCAGGGTATACATATTATTATTATTATTATTATTATTATTATTATTATACCCCAGGCATGGGAGAGTGCTCTTGTGCTCTGGCTGGCTACTGTGAGAACAAGGTGCTGGATGGAATGGGCCAAACCTTGATCCAACAGGCTCTTCTTAGGTTCTTGGGCTCTTACTGGTAGAGTGGAAGGAAAGGAGACCCACAGAAGGCAGCGTCAGGGCAAGTGACAGGTTGACTCAGAACTGTCAGGGACTGGGCAGAGGAGAAACGGTGGAAACTGCCTCCCCATCCTGACCCTTCCAGGGAGGAGGAAGAGGAAGACAGTATAGATTTACAACAGGGGTTTGAGAGAGGTAGCAGCTCAAAGGCAGATGAGGGGGAAAGCTGGGAAATCATGGAAGACCGTCCCAGCATTCCAGACCGCCCCATCTCCCAGAACCCTGCAAGCCTTAAAAGTAGGAGAGCAAAGAGCTCAAAGGCAGAAGGCATGTAGCAGCTCCCATAGAAGTGTCGAATGAGGAAGTGGGAGATGCTGGGAACAGAGATTCACTCAGGACAACGCCATTATCCAAGAGGCTGGGCTCTATAGCCTCTCTCTGTAATATTGAAATAAAAAAGGGCAGTAAGAAATTTTTCCTTGTCTTTATACTTTCATGGGCAACCAGCCGGCAGCCACTGAAAGCATCCTGACAAGAACCAATGAGAGATGGAGCAGGCTAATTTTACTCCCCTCCCCCCCATCTGCCTCCTTGTGGAGTACCAGCACTAAGGCAACGCCCAAAGTAAGAAGCTGATAGACAGTGCTGCCCTTCTCTTTGCTTCCTCCTCCTTCATCTCAGGCAGGATGGGGACGAAAAGCCATACTACTTTGTAAGCAGTTTCCTGGAAAGAGGGCTTGATTGGTAAACCACCCGGGCAACTGTAGCTCTGGGAAGGGCATAGGGGTCTCCTAACAACTCTTAGCACCCTGAAAGAACTACACTTCCCAGAATTCTTTGGGGGAAGGCCATGGTACAATACAACGTTACAGTAGAACCCTTGAAAATGCATGGATGCGTGCGAGTTCCACTGAAATGAATGGAAGCAGTGCACCAACACTGCTCAATGCAATTGTGCAAGGTCCATCCATTTCAGGCTAAAGCCAAAGAACAGCCACAATGCTTGTGGCAAACGACTCCAGAATTTCCCAGGCTGCACCTGATATCCTGAGACCCCTGGTCATCATCCCATCATGTTTCATATTAAACCCAAGTGTGGATTACCCTGTCATCAAAAAGAAGGATCTCTGCAAGTGTTACAGTGGACCAGCTGGTTTTTAGCTCTATTTTTTCCATGTGTGATCTACTGTTCAGCTAAGCTCCTGGCTCACAGTCTTTCTTTTTTGCTTGTAACTGATGGACAGACTGCTTTGAGAATAATAACTCCATAAATCAGACTGACACATCCTCCATTTCACAATAAATCTTAAAATAATTCAGAATTGAGGGAAGAAGGCGGCCATGGTGAGAGTTTGATGATGATGAAGAAGATTATAAATCGTTAAATATATATATAAATAAATTAGACTCTTGCATAATCCACAAGGGGTCACTCACTCTCTTGGCAGAAATAATCTCATTGAAACAGATTTTTGAAAAACAACAACGTTAAACCAGGATTCATCTCAATGGTTTTAGAGAGAAGTAAGTACATTTCTGGCCTCAGAGCGCTTGGATTAATCTTAAAGCCAAACATCCCGCCTCCAGGACTAAGAACGAAACTCCTGTTTCATGTGCAAAAATAAAAACTAAGCAGCTCAGGTTTAATGGGACGCAACACCCAGGCCACCCGGTATAAAGATATCACGGCAAAAAGATCTCCAGAGAATAGCAATTCAGACGCAGTAGGTATTTTAATAACCTTGGTCTCAGTGTTGGAACTAAAATTAACAGAAGCTTATGGGTTCTCAAAATGTTTAATTAAAAAAACAAACAAACCTTTGGCTACTCTATTGGATGCCTCCCAAATAATTCTAATGCCCTGGGTTTATTTCCTGGCCATTTTATTTCAGCCTTGATTATTATCCCCCTGTTGCTGACGGGATCTGAGGCAGAGATAGCAGTTTGCCTTCAGCCACTACTGCAGGGGTCACCAATGTTTTTAGACCTATGGGCATTTTTGGATTTTGGAGCAAGTGCCATAGCTAGTCTCCACCCCCCGAATACCCTGCAATTCATTGGAGAAATAGTGGAGAGTATGCCACCCTAGTGACTTCTCTCCCCCAAACAAGAGGGGGCAGATACACTTTGCTTTTCCAAGGGATCGGGTAAAAGTCAAACCCAGTATAATCAATCTGAGCCTTGGAAAGCCCATAGAGCTGAAAAGGAAGTGGGGAAGAGCGGCCACTCTTTCAACTTCCTGCTTCTGCTCTATATATTTCTCGTGACCAAGGGAGCAACTGAGTAGTGCTGATGAATTCAGAGGCTTTGCTGGCACCAGGGGAAGACCTTGGTGGCACCATTAACGCCCAAAGCATCACACTGACAACCTCTGCACATGGTTGTGGTGAGATTGGAACCATGGATCTCTCCGTTAGCTGCTGCCCAGTCTCAAAAGTGGGGCAGTTTCATGCCGAGAGAGGGAGATACTTCCCCTTCCCTGCCTCTCTTTTTCAGGGTCTGATGAAAGACTAGAGCCAAAATAAGGTAGTGGCAGACAAATGAGCTTGCATTCCCAGGCAGGGTGGGGCTGAGGAATGATCCCTGATGCTTCTTTCAACTCCCAACATGAAAAACAAAACAAAAAAAGGCTTACAAACATTGGGTGAAATACGGGATTTGCCTTGGCAAAGAATTGTCAGCATTGTCAAGGTGGAAGTCTTTGAAGCACTTCTCCTTGCTGGACAAAGACACTGAAAAGGAAAGCAAGCTTTTAAGTTCTTGATTTAGCAAAGCATCTTTGCCATTAACCTGGTTCCGTGATGTATGAAACTGCAAACATGAGTAAGAGACACGCAGACAAAAGTTTTCCAGGTTACCTTGGAGGGATCACAGTTATCTCTTTGCTTCATCTTCACCTTATGTTTACTGAAATGGTTTGTCGCAGAACTGAGTCAATGTTTCCCTCCACTGAGTCAACCTGGGACTGTTGCCCAGGCTTTGACAACCTGGTATCTTCCAGGTGTTTTGAACTACAATCAACACTCCCCAGTCAACACTCCTGTTCTGGCTAGAGCTGTATTCCAAAACATCTGGAGGGCACCTGGTTGGCAAAGATTGAATAAGAGGAGGGTTTGGCCGAGTCAGACCCCTCAACCACTGTCATGGACTGGCTGGGCACAGAGGAATGGTGGGGGGCACCAGCTGGGGAACCCCCATGGGACAAAGGCTCAGAGCCTGGGGATTGGTGGTGGGATGACGAGAGTGGTCAGAGGCAGAGGAGGAAGAAGCCTGGGAGGGGGATGTGTCAGAAGCTAAAGAGGTAACAGGTTTTGGTGAGCTGGGAGAGTCTGAGGCTGAGAGAAGATCAGAATCAGAAGCAGAGATGGAAGCAGGAGAAGAGGGAGGCCAAGCAGTAGAGATGAGTCAAGCTGGGGAGGGAACTGACCATTGCAAATGCTTAGGCCAGCCTTCAGCAGCAAGTTATGCCCCACATGTTTTGGACTCTAATGCCCATCTGCACCAACCATCACGGCAGCCAATATGAAACCTTCCAGATCATAGCTGCCAACCGTCCCTTATTTGGCGGGAAACTCCCTTATCCTAGTGCCGTGTCCCGCTGCTGTCCCTTACAGATGATGTCCCTTAAATTTCCCGGGTTTCAAAGGAAGCAGCTCTTCTCCCTCCCTCCCTGCCAGCCAGCCAGTGTTGCTTGGCTGCGTTGCTCACCCAATAAGGAGTCTAAGAACGACTGGTGGGTGGAGCTTGCATGCCTTGTGCCAATCAAATCGGCTGCGTGGCCTGGGGACTCGCCTTTGCTCAGCACTTCCCAGCGGAGAGGTGATGGTGGTTTTGCTTGCTGCATCCCCTTTGCTAGGTTGCTGCGCTGTGGGAACCACGAAGCTTGAGGCTTTGTTTGGCTGCTGGCTGGGCTTTCTGCCTTTGGCTCGGAGGGGCTCAGAAGTTGAACATACCTGTGCCCGGAAAATCCCTTATTTTGGCTGCTGATCCCTTATTTTCGAGGCTGCTGGTCCCTTATTTTCAAATCTGTAAGTTGACAGCTATGTTCCAGATGTTGTTGGACAGAGGTTGCCATTATCCCTGACCTAGGGTGGATCTACTATGAAGCTAACAATGCTTAAGCTTCAGGGCCCCTAATCTTGGAGGCGACCCAGAAACAACTTTTGTCTACTTTGCTTTAAAAAAAAAATAATGGGTCCAGTAGATGCTATTTGAGTTGCACAATTCAAACTGGTGGTATATTTTTCAACAGCCCCAAAGTTTTGAGAGTCAGTAGCACAGATGTTGCAAAGGTGTGGTGATCTGTCTTGGAACAACCCTGTTGAAGAAGATAACCTTGGTTACCCAGACCTTGTTGCTGGTTGCAAAGGGGCTCCCATGACAGTTCGAGCTGCAGAGACCTCCAAATGTAGGTTTGACGTTGCCCTGACCATTGGCCATGCTGGCTGGGGCTGATGGGAACTGGAAGCCAGCAACATTGGGAGGGCGCCACATTACTTATCCCTAGATTAAAGAATTGTGGGAGGAGTAAATTGGTCATAGAATTATAGAATTGTAGAGTTGGAAGGGACCCAACGGGTCATCTAGCTCAACCCTAGCAATGGTGGGTTTAAAAACAAAACAAAACAAAACAAGAGTACCTTTAGTGACAGGCAGAAATCCAACAGGCACAGAACTTCAGGGATGAGGAGAAAAACTGCTTTTGCCACTGTGGCTGTGTGCAGTTTTTTACAGCAAACAGGTTCAGAATTCCTGCTTTCTTAATATTCTCCAGCATTCAGCTGTCACCCCCAACTGTCACCCCTGATTACCAGCTTTGCCTCTAAGTCCATTTCCAGGGGCAGCCATGCTGAGAGACACTTCTTATCTTATGAACTTGACACTGAGCAAACCAGCGGAGGGGTGTGAGCAAGCTAAACATATGGACTTGGGGGTCTCTGTTCACTTTTAGGGGCAGCTAGGATTGCCTGGGGTGAGGTGGGCAACTCTGGGCGACTTTGATCACAGAGGTCCACGTTGTGCGGCTCTTTTAAGGAAATGGCGATATGCTGAACAACACAGATTTGATGGAAGGGCGGAAGTGATGCAGTGACCTTCAGACTGTGAAGCACTGCTTGATCTTAAAACTGGGGTGTGCGGAGGCTTTTGTGCGTGACACTTCCCAATATTCCCGCATTGCTGCTCTCTGGACAGGCACTGTTATGCTATAGAGCAGCTAAAGCAGGGCAACAGCACTACCATCCTAAAACATTGCAGGGGTGGACTAGCGGACCCTTGAGTGACCCCCCCATCCAACTCTCTGATTTAGGATATAAAAAGTTACAGGACAGAAAGTTATGGGAAATGCACTGATTGGAAATAAAGCAGTGAGAGCCCCTCCAGACATCCTTTCTATTGCATTTTCATGAGGAACTGTGTTCATGATGCTGTTTAATTCCGCTTTCGATATTGCAAAAGTTTGGGGCTGGTCACTTCATTTCTTTTTCTTATTTCTTTTTTAAAAAATTAATTTTAATAAGTTTTGCATTTTTATCATATAACAACATATCAAATAACAAAAAAGAAGTACAATTTCTCAATTTCTCTCTCTCCCCCACCCCCTTCCCTCAATTTCCTCTTCTGGTTTTTTACATATTAACTTCTCCTGCTTGCTTGATTATATCTTAATATTGAATTCTTTATATTAAATGCTGTTATGTTCTTATCATTTTAACATCCTCTTTGTAATTTCTATATTTGTTTTGTTAATTGTGCTTACTCAAACCCTGCTAGTGAGTCCATTTCTTTACACTGCTTCTGTAGGTACAATATAAATGTTTCCAATCTTTTTTAAAGTCTCTATTGTCTTTTTATCTAAGTCTTTCTGTTAGCTTCACCATTTCAGCATATTCCATCAATTTTTCTTGCCATTCTTCTTTAGTTGGTATTTCATCGCTTTTTTATCAATATCCTAGCCGCAATTGTAGCATACATAAAAAGTTTCTTCTTCTCTTTTGGCAAGTCTTGACCTGTAATGCTGAATAAAAAAGTTTCTGGTCTTTTAACAAAGGTTATCTTAAGCATTCTTTGGATTTCATTATAAATGGTCACTTCATTTCTAATCAGGGCATACCGCATAACTTCCTGCTGAAATCCCATTAACTTTTTATATACCACAAATGTTCTGGTTTATTTTTTGTCCTGCTTTCATTGCACTACGGCTGCTCCAGACAGCAATAATGTGGTATCATTGGAGAAACATAAAAAAACTAACTAAAACGTATTAAATCCATCACTGATGTACTCTTTTTGTTACAATAACATGTTGCAGAGCACACCCCCCAATAAAACACCAGTCTGGAGGAGAATGTCCGCCCTGCAGGATTGAAAGTAGGATCATGTACAACTGCCCTGATGCCAACATGAAAACAAAGAATCACAAATGCACAATGAAAAAAGAACGTCACCCTGAAGGGGGCTCAAATTGTGCTGGGCAAACCCAAGTTACGCACCAAGAGAGGGTCCCAGGAGCAAAATTCAAACCCCATGAAGGGTTCCATTGCTCAGTGCACATCAGAAGCAAATTGGTTGGTGAAATGGGATCCTGGATCCTGCAAAATCAGGCTCCTTTCTACACATTTCTGAAGAAGGCATCTTCTTCACTGCTTCCATAAATTGGCAGTTTTCTTCATCTTGACAACAACATGCCTTTGGGGTAATAGCTCACAGTTAAGGGGACTCCAAGCCCACCCCTAATTAAAAAAACCCGATGTGTTCAAATTCAGCTGTGTACCCTAAGACTCCTGGGAGCTGCAGTTTATTAAGGGTGCTGGGAACCGTAGCTCTGTGAAAGATAAACTACAGCTCCCAGGATTATTTGGGTGGGTGTGCTTTAAATGCATTGTGTGTACATGGTCTGGCAGCAGCTGATGTCTCTGTGATACCAGTTTTATGTGGTTAATTGCCTTCTTGGGGTGGGGCAAAAAAAGAAGAAGTAGTTCTGGGCACCACAGTTTAAGAAGGATATTGACAAGCTGCGCAGGGGAAGGGATCAAGGGTCTGGAAACCAAGCCTTATGAGGAATGGTGGAGAGAGTTTGGGATGTTTAGCCTGGAGAAGAGAAGGCTGAGAGGTGGTATGATAGCTGTCTTCAAATATCTGAAGGGCTGCCACATGGAAGATGGAGCGAGCTTGTTTTCTGCTGTTGCAGAGGGTGGGACCCAAACCAATGGATTCAAAGGACAAGAAAGAAGATTCAGACTAAGTATTTAGAAGAACATCCTGACAGTAAGAGCGGAACGGATTCGCTTGGACGGTGGTGGACACCAGAGGTTTTTAAGCAGAGGTTGGATGGCTGTCTGTTAGGGGGTTGGACTAGATGACCCTTGGTGTCCCATCCATTTCTGCAATGCTATGATTCTAGGAAGGAAGCCCATTTTTAGAAAGCTGATCTATCTCCCTCTGCCCTCTGGCAAATCCAGAAAGGAGTTCTCATTCCCTTACAAATGATCTGGTGTGCAACCTTCATAACTGGGTTGCGGTTTCCACGCGAAAGCAAACTTTTACTACAGTATCAAATAGCCCTCAAACCCCACGAAGCAACAGAGTGTGCATGTTTGCTCCGGGGTGGAAGAGGCATGAAGCCCAAAAGTTTTCAAATGTTGCACATGAACCAGCCACAGAAGCTCAGTTCTTCTGATTGGGCAGCGAGACAAAAATTTCTCAGCCATCCTCTTAGAAATGTGATTTTGACAGAGTCATGCTCACAAACGAAATGCGGCAACCAAACAAAATGATTTTCTGGTGTGTGGTGAAGGTCCAAGGGGACTTCTCTTAAAACTGAACACCAGGCCCCCCTCTCATTGACCTTCCCCCCCATCATTAAAATGTCATGACTTACAGATATATTACCACCCAATGGACATAAGACAAGCATGCTGAATAAGCAAATAAATCTCTAGTCTGGGCCAAGACATCCCAAACTACATTGTAAGAGGAGCAGAGAAAATTATGCAGATTAAGCAAATGTATAACGTTTCCAGCAGAGCTGGGTCAAGACATATTGCTCCTGGAGGCAAATATGGCACTTCCACCCCTTTCTCCATCTGGTGGAATCTTAATTCCCCTGCCACCACACCACCTCTAGCATTGTCTCCTGAGGCCATCACTTCAATCTGCCTTAGGGTAGGGCCGGCCCTGGATTTCTCTCCCATAACTAGGCAGTGTTTGTAATTTTGCATAATATATTCTGCTCCTCCTCCTAATTGTAGAGAAGGGAGAGGCCTACACAAGCACCTTGCGGGGGCTAAACATATTATTCTGCAGCTCCTCTGGATTTATGAGAAGAAGAAGAAAAAGAAGAGTTTGGATTTGATATCCCGCTTTATCACTAGCTTAAGGAGTCTCAAAGCAGCTAACTATCTCCTTTCCCTTCCTCCCCCACAACAAACACTGTGTGAGGTGAGTGAGGCTGAGAGACCTCAGAGAAATGTGACTAGCCCAAGGTCACCCAGCAGCTGCATGTGGAGGAGCGAGGACACGAACCTGGTTCCCCAGATTACGAGACTACCGCTCTTAACCACTACACCACACTGGCTTAGCAAGGTTACCAGGCAGAACCATGCCCATTAAGGACTAGAAACTTGTCTTTGAATTTAAAAAGAAAGCTGTTATTATTGGGAGGCAGAATTCTGCCCCGAATGCTACATTTTGCAGCTTTCCTGTTTATTCGTTTGGCACACGCAGCTCTATGAATCGTAGGGGTGGGAAGACCCCCCCATCCCTATGATTCCCCCCCCACACTTTCGATTTTCAACCCTATCTCAAGTAAGAACTATTCATCTGTAAGTTATGGCATGAACTGAACTGAGCTCCCTTGAAAGGTGGTGGACTCTCCTCCACTGGAGGATTTTAAAAAGAGAGGTTGGATGGCCACCTGTCAACCCAAATTACATTGCAGGAGAAGCAGAAAAATAATAATATGCAGATTAAGCAAATCTTCTTTAGCTGTGATTCCCGCATTGCAAGGGACTGGGCTCTATGATTCTGCAGTTTCCATCAACTTGTATTCGGAAGCATTCCTGCCTCCGAATGTGGAGTCACCCACACGATGCCAAGACTCTCACCTTCGGTTTAGCTTCTTCCTTCTAATCCCAAAGTTATGTAGCCTGGGTCTCATTTTATTATTTAAGTAGCCGAGCAAAATAGACGTTAGAAAGTAAGCTGGTGAGTCATATTTCCTCAAGGATTCTGGGAAATGCCAGGCTGCTCCTTAATGAGCAGGAGGGTTTTGCTAAGGCCGTCCCCAGCCAAACTAATAAAAATGGGAAGGAGAGTTTTAAAAATTAAATTAAATAAAAAGCATTCAAACGGTCGATGAAGAGAGGTAGAGGATCCCCTGTGTTTACTATCATCTTGAGTGTGAGGGAAGATGTGGAAAGGACCAGCCTGGGAAAGAAAAGAGTTGTGTGTATTTATATTGCACAAATCAAAGCCCATGCAGTTCTGGGGAATACACACTTTAAAAGAGTCTGCCAAATATGCTTGTCCCCCCCCCCCTTTCGTTTTATTAAAAAAAGGACTTGGCTTCACAAAGGCACAACTGTAAGAAAGCTTGTAATTTGCCCAAATAAAACTTAATTCGAGCCATGAAATAGCTGTGGTTTATTGTGTAATATATGTGCTATGTATTTTAATTTAATCGAACCCAATATAATTGGAAGCCAGTGGGTTTTTTTATTATTATTTTAATTTATTCTTCTTCTGCAGAGCAATCCCAAAGCTGTTCCCACAGCAGAAGGCACTGTGTTTGCACAGCGGACAGCTCAGAGTGAAGCGTAAATCAAGTCGCAAAACTCGAGATTGGCAAGCGATGTGTGAAATGACTTAGCAGAGATTCCTGCATTGCAGGGGGTTGGACTAGACAGCCCTAGGGGGTCCCTTCCAACTATACAATTCCATGATTCCATGACTCTCACACAGGTCAACAGGAGCCTGGAACAGTCCCTAAAGGGCTGCAGAGATTCTCAGCCTGGGACCCAGAAAGGTGCTGAGCAGCGCTGAATTATCCAGCTGGCAGACTAAGCAAGTGCTTAAGGCACCTGCAAAGGGCACAAAAAGAAAACAGGGCTTTTTGGTTAAAGAATTTGATTTAAAAAAGAGGAAAAGTATTGCGGCATTTGGGTAGGACCCGACCCAATAGATTCAAATTACAAGAGAAGAGATTCCAACTAAACATTAGGAATCACTTTCTGAGGGTAAGATCTGCTTGAAAGAAGAAGAGGAGGAGTTTGGATTTGATATCCCGCTTTATCACTAGCCTAAGAAGTCTCAAAGTGGCTAACATTCTCCTTTCCCTTCCTCCCCCACAACAAACACTCTGTGAGGTGAGTGGGGCTGAGAGACTTCAGAGAAGTGTGACTGGCCCAGCAGCTGCATGTGGAGGAGCAGGGAATCAAACCCGGTTCACCAGATTATGAGTCTACCACTCTTAACCACTACACCACATTGGCAAGTGTGTTGGACAAGGGGTTGGACTAGATGACCCTACAACTCTACAATTCTAAGATCAAAGTAGTCTGCATAAATCAGAACTTACACTCTACACTCTTTCCCCATTCTTATTGTCTTTTCTTATTACTTATCCCCAGCTCAACCAGGAGACATCCTATTAATGTAGATCAAAATCATAGGAGGACAGCAGAACTTGCCATGTGTTGCACATGGCAGACAAACATGTCCATTTGGGCACGCATGTAAATTTTGTGACATTTGGGGGGGAAACCCATTGTTTAGGGTTTAGTCTTGTTTTTATTTTGCACCATATATGGGGGTACCATGATCTTTTCAGCGCTTAGGCTGGCCTCCAAAGGTCTGGCCCTGGAGTTGAGGAAGAGATGTCTAGCTGGATGAAGAGGGTTGTAGCACCAACAGAGGCAGAAACACGAGAGGCTCCTTCATGGAGACACTAAGGAGTTCTTTAATCCAGGGACAGGCAATGTGACACCTTCCAAATGGCGTTAAGACTCCAACTCCCATCAGCCCCAGCCAGCACGACCAATGGATAGGGATGATGGGAGTTGTAGAAGAAGAAGAAAAAGAGTTTGGATTTGATATCCCGCTTTATCACTACCCGAAGGAGTCTCAAAGCGGCTAACATTCTCCTTTCCCTTCCTCCCCCACAACAAACACTCTGTGAGGAGAGTGGGGCTGAGAGACTTCAGAGAAGTGTGACTAGCCCAAGGTCACCCAGCAGCTGCATGTGGAGGAGTAGAGACGCGAACCCGGTTCACCAGATTATGAGTCTATCGCTCCTAACCACTACACCACACTGGCTCTCAGTTGTAGTCCAGCAACACTTGGGAGGCCACCACTTGGCTGGTCCAGGCCTCGCACTCCAACTTGGCTTTGATGGGTTTTTACCTTGCAGCCTCCCCTGGGGTCTCTGCCATGGGAGGGCCGTGGCTCTGTGGCAGCGCCCTTACCTAGCCTTTCAAAATATCCCAGTTCAGTCTCCAGCACCTCCAGTCAAAAGGATTAGGGGATGGCACAAACCTCTCAGCCAGACACTCAGAGACAGCAATGGCCAATGGTGGCACCCTCTGGGTTTCATTAAACTACAACTCCCGTCGTACCTGACGTTTGGCCGTGTTGGCTGGGGCTGAAGGGAGATGGGAGTCCAAAACATTGAGATGATGCTATGCGGGTGTGGCTCTCCATGATTTCGCACCAGGGCCTTTGGGCAGCCTTACGTGGAGAGCTGCTGCTTGTTACAGGAGAATATGGCAAGAGGGACCAGCGTGATGATGCAACAGAAGGGACGCTACTTGCTTCGTGTAAGGGACTTGAACGCTGTTTGCTTCAGCTGCAGAGAAACGCAGGCTATTGCCTTACATGGAGTCAGACTACTGGTCTGTCTAGCTCAGTACTGTCGGCACTAACTGGCAGCAGCTCTTAAGGGTTTCAGGCAGGGGGCATTCTGAACTACAGCCCTTCCAAGAGGAACAAGTATCTGAGCAGAAAGTGGTACCTGGATGGGAGATCCTTCTTACCAGAGTAGTGTAAGGGGACCTCGCTTTCTGCAACCCATCTGGCTGCACAATTATGTAGCGAGTAGAATAGAAAAGGCATCGTTTAAGAACATAAGGAGAGCCTGCTGGATCAGGCCAATGGCCCATCAGGGCCAGCATCCTGTCCTCACAGTGGCCAGCCGGATACCCATTCTGGAAACCCCACAAGCAGGACCCAAGCCCAAGCACCCTCCCCTCCTGTGGTTTCCGGCAACTGGTATTCAACCCTGGAGCCAGATCGTAGCCGTGGTGGCTAGCAGCCCTCTCTCCTCCTCGAGAGTCGCTTCTTGAATTGCAGCATTCCAAAGAGGAATGCTGTGTGCCCTCTCCGTCAAATAGGTTGCTATAAACAAGCAGCTGGGATTAGCATCTCCACGGAGCGCCTTGGAAGTTCAGGATTTGGTAATGTGTTTCAGATGCTGCGTTAAAGCCTTCATTAAAAGGGGATTTGGTGGACTCGCTCATGGAAGTGGTAGGGGTGGGGGCTTTGCAGGGAGAGAGAGAGAAATGCTGCCTTTTGTAATTAAATTTTTTTCTAAGGCTGGACCAAGGTTGGGGGATGGGGGGGGGAGAGGGAGGGAGCCTGCAGAACCAGTCAGGCAAAAGAGGGTGACATTCTTGATAGTTGATGACCCAGAACAGGAAGCATGGGGGTGTGGGAGGGGAAGAGAGAGAGCGCACTAATTGTTTAAAATGAGAGCGCGGGGAAATACAAATGCTGGTAATGCTAGACCCAAGTTCACCTACCAGTTCAGCGGCGTTTATCCAGCACAGCTGCTGTCCAGCATAGCCTGCTTCATTAGCTATCGCAAGAAAATACAGGTGCTGGGTTTTCTGGGCTCACCTACCAATTTTGTAGCACTTCCCACACAGCTCCTATCTTGCAAAGGCTGCTTCCTTGGCTACAATGTCAAAATGCAGTTGCCAGCAGTGCTGGCATCTGTGAACTCGCTTGCTCCAAAGCAAGAAACATACACAACAATCCAACGGCCAGGGAGAAAGCTTGGCTCTAAGCCCCTCCTTCATTGGTTCTTGTTTTCATTTTCAGTTGTCTCATTGTTACCCAAATGAGCACCATACGACAAAAAAAAAGCAAACCGACAACAAAAAACCAAACCGTTGTGTTGTCTGTACAGTCATACCTTGGGTTACAGATGCTTCAGGTTGTGTTTTTTCGGATTATGGACCCGCTGAAACCCGGAAGTACTGGAACAGGTTACTTCTGGGTTTCAGGGGTTTTGCGCATGCACAGAAGTGCTAAATCTCGCTTTGCGCATGCACACCAAATTGCAACCTGCATGTGCGCAGATGCGCCACTGCGGGTTGCGAACATACATCCTGCACTGATCACGTTCGCAACCCGAACGTCCACTGTACAGTGGTACCTCAGGTTACATACGCTTCAGGTTATATACGATTCAGGTGACAGACACCGCTAACCCAGATACAGTGCTTCAGGTTAAGAACTTTGCTTTGGGATGAGAACAGAAATTGTGCTCCGGCGGCGCGGCAGCAGTAGGAGGCCCCATTAGCTAAAGTGGTGCTTCAGATTAAGAACAGTTTCAGGTTAAGAACGGACCTCCGAAACGAATTAAGTACTTAACCCGAGGTACCACTGTATAGGCTTTTCTCAAGTAGAAATTTGCTTACCTACGAAGCTGGCTCAATAGAAATATTTGCAGTTTCTTTGAATGGAGATAATGTAAGGCCCCCCGCAAGGATCCTGAAATCATAGGGGCGAGTCCTCGCAAGAAACGTCTAGACCAGTCCCTGCCCAAAGGAACATGCCCTCCTGAAACCCCACTCCACATGCAAATCTATGCAAAAGCACTTACAGAGCAAAGGGCTGGATACCCACATCCCAGAATCCTTGGTAGTTTTTTTATCTTGGCAAAACTCCGTATTGGGGGGAGTCATTCAGAAGTTCATCACACGGAAAAGAAAACTACCCTGCAGTGTCTTTTATCCAGGACTGTTGTCCCTTTCCTGCAGTTGTGGAATTTTGCCCTGAGTGGTCAGTTGAACTCCTTGGGAGTCTTGCATTTAAAAAGAGAGAGAAAAGAGATATGTAGTCCTTAAGGCTGTAAGACTAAGCTAGAGTGTGTGTGCATGTAAAAAGCTGCAGATGGCAGGAAGCTCAGAGTGCCTAACAGATCTTGCTGCCTTTCCCCACAGCCATCAAAGGTAGAATTAACTATGCACAGTGTTGAAAGATATGCTGATTGGCTGCATATTATAGCTTTCCCCCACTGCTCCTGTTTAGCAAAGGCTGGTTCTTTAGCTGTGGTGACAAAAGTGAAAATTTGTGCCGTAAGTCCTCTTGAGTCACTTGAGAACAAACACTTAGGAGAGGCTCATTTTGGCACATTTAAAAACATTTAAGGGAAATTTTACGGAAGGGCTGTGTGGATCAGTGGTAAGCACCTGTTCTGCATGCAAAAAGCCTCAGGTTTAATTGCCAGGCAGAGCTGGGAGAAACTCTTGCCTGAAGCCTGGGAGAGCAGCTTAGTATCAACAGCACTGAGCTAATGATCTGGCATGATATGACACAACTACCTATTTAAATCAGCCCCTTAATTTCAAACCATGTGGAATACAGGCTTACTTTATTTAGAGGGGGAAACCAAAGCTCAGTGGTGGACCACATGGTTTAAGATGCAAAAAGTCCCAGGTTTAGGCCCCAGTGTGGGAGGGACCCTGCCTGAAACCCTGGGGAGCTGCTGCCAGCCAGTGTAGACAATACTGAGCTACACCAACCAATGGTCTGAGTAGGTATATGGTACCTTTTACCTACTGGGAAAATCCATGATCTGTAGCAGGGGTAGGCAACCTAAGGCCCGTGGGCCGGATGAGGCCCAATCGCCTTCTTAATCCAGCCTGCGGACGGTCCAGGAATCAGCGTGTTTTTACATGAGTAGAATGTGTCCTTTTATTTAAAATGCAGCTCTGCGTTATTTGTGGGGCACAGGAATTCGTTCATTATTTTTTTCAAAATATAGTCCGGCCCCCCACATGGTCTGAGGGACAGTGGACCGGCCCACGGCTGAAAAAGGTTGCTGACCCCTGATCTGCAGGCTGCAACACGACAAGAGGCTGGGTTCTGTATGATTGTATACAGCAAAATTGTCCGTGTTCTTGATTATCATTGTTTAAGGGTAACTAAGGCCACCCAGGTAAAACAACTGTTAGGTTTGGGGAGTGGAGAGAGAAAACTTGCAGGCGCAAACTTCTCAGCTCCATTTTGGACTTCAAAATCCCTTTTTGTTCATATCCTAGAAGTACACGTTTCCTTACATATTCTTCCTTTGTTTTAAAAATTAGACACTTTCGGGCAGGGGGGCAAAACCTATAATGCAAATACTTTATTATCAACGAGTGTCCGGTATTAGCTTTTTCTTTCTTTCTGGGTATTACTATTTTTTTTAATATAAAAAACTATACAGCCCAAACATGGCGCTACTTCCATTTTTTGCTGTATAATTTTTTTTCCTCCTTAAAAACAAACACAACTGTATTGAAAGACCTCTAAGCCAAAGTGCATTTTCCTTTTTTTGTCCATATACACATTGCACCATACATAAATAATTACATTGTAAAAATGACTCCATAATTACAAGTATAATATATATTTTCATATAATATATAAAACTTTATATTAAATCTAGGTAGATGATATTTGGGGATAAGTCTCGTGTCCCACTCGGCTCTCCTCCTTCTCCTCCTCCAAGGCTGGAGCGGCTATCTGTGGTTGTTGAGCAAAATCTCCAGCCAGCAGGGGCAGGAGGTGATGAACTGTCTGGAGTAGGAAGGGCCCCAGCCTTTTGCAAAGCTGATCCGGACACTGTTAGGGTCGAAAGGCCCGTCGGGGTACCCCAAGTCCGTGGCGTGCTGCAAGAGGCAAGACTTCTCGTAGTCGAAGACCTTGATCGAGTAGCCAGGCATCACTTTGCGCACGATGAGAGTCCGGCAGTTGGGAATGTCCAGTGTCGGGGAGTTGATGAAGATGGGGTGCTCGCTGCGGTTGTAGGCCCACACGCCGTCCTGCTCCTTGCTGAGCAAAATTCCATATCCAATCTTACTTCGAGTCCGGTGGACAGTCTCGTTCCTGTTCTCCAGCTGCAGCTGTCCCAGGCAGAAGCCGTTTCCTTGAGGTAGGTCATAGAAGATACTGACGGACTGTTCGTACACGGTGTAGAGGCGCCCGACGCGCGTCCGGTGCTCCCAGTAGGCGACGTTGCACCAATGGCTTTGCTTAATGGCGTCAGGGGACATGCTGGCATCTAAGGAGAAGAGGAGACGCAGAAAGGGCAGGTTAGTTTCCAAAGCAGCAAACCTCATGATGTGTGTTCAACTGGCGTCAGAAATGGACCTCTGCGACCCAAATGCAGCTTATCCCAAATGCGCTCGGGATTTTGTGTGTGCGATTTGCAAACCAGTTCAACTGGACTTTCAACAGGGCTGCGTTAGTGACAATCAAAGATTTAGGACTTAAAAAGGAGCGTCGGGAAAATCCCCCCTCCTTCCCTCCCCCCTCCTTCCCTCCCCCCTCCTTCCCTCCCCCCCGGTTCCTTTCCCTGCCCCTATTCTACGGCCCCAGGAAACAGAGGCAGAGCGATAACCCAAGGGTTGCCTCCCATTGCCCCACTTGCAAAACTGCGCAGCCCAGGAATCGACATCCTTGAAAGGGGCCCTGGAAAGGTGAAGCTGCTTTCAAAACATGTAATCTGGAGAGCTCAGCAGGCTCTTTTCCAAAAAAAACCATTCGGGGGATTCCAAGGATGACCGTAAAATAAACAGAAAGTCCTCCTGCAAGCACCCTATCTGCGTCAATTCCCTGGCCGCCCCGCCTTTCGCTCGGCTCTTTTCTGCTGCCACAGCTGAACCACACTCAAGTTCTGCACACGCCCAGCATCTCCTGCCTCTCAAGTGCTCAGAGGATTTATTTCCCCGACTCTGTTAAGGAGGCTTAAGGCTGCCCACCCCCACTCCACACCCCCTGTGCCAAACATCGCTGTTCCTAGCTCAGGAAGAGCCACGCAGATAAGTCACAGCATCTCCAGCTAGGACTGAGAAATATCCCTTGCCTGGGAATCCCACAGAGAGCTTCTGCCAGTGTAGACAATGCTGAACTAGATGGACTCAGTAAAAGGCAGCTTCCCGTGTTCCTCTGTGTCCAAGAGTCTGCAAGCTTGCAGATGCCACAAGAAGCTTACTCTAGTCAGCAGCGAAAGCTTGCAAGACAGGAGACCTGGCTCCATTAACCAGTTGTGGGTGGAAGTCCAGCACAATCCAGAGGTTTTACACGGCCAGCCCCAATATTGCAAACATCTTCATAGCCCCAAGACAGCTCAGTCGGAACTTAATCTTGGGGTCAGGGATTTGAGCTCCACGTTGGGCAAAAAGGTCCCTGCATTGCAGAGGCTTGGACTAGATGGCCCTTGCAGTCCCTTCCAACTCTACGACTCTTCTTTGGTTCATTCTTTGCTCCCCATGCTTGCTCTGGAGTGTGGGAGAGCATCTATACTGTTCCAGGGCAGTTACTGTACACAGAATCCCAGGCTCTGTGCCCCACAGCCCCTGGTAACCCAGTTTGTAAATGGGATCCTTTTTTGTTGTTCTTCTTCAAAGATTGGCAGTGTTGGAAGGGTTCCAAAGGATCATCCAGCCAACTCCCTGCAATGTAGGAATCACAGCTAATCCCAAGAGTCTTCAGGCATCCAACCTGGTGGGCACAAGGCTGGCAAAGATTGATCCAAGGCTATTGGTCCTTGGTACCTTCCAGATATTTTGGACTCTGCCTCCCACCAGCTGTCAAGCGCTGACCAATTCTGATGAGGCAGATTCCAAAACATCTGGATGACACCAGGCTGGAAGGAGAGTCTGCCAGAGGGCAGTGGAAGGGCCAAGGCAAGTTCAAGCCATCATGACTCCTCTTGAGTCTCAAAGATTCTCACCCACTGCCACCAAAGTTCAGTGAAAATCCACAATCCCCGTCACTTTCTTCCCCAACCAAAACAGCTGGCTGTCGCCTTCTATTCTGCTTCAAACTGTAGTTCAGAAAGAATGCCAGAGATAACCCTGGAGTCTGATACATATTCCAACCCAAACGTTTTGGAGGATTCCTATGGAAACATTTTCCCGGAACTCTCCAAAATGCTTTCCCTTCTCCTCCAAGGAACTCTGTCGAAGAGATGGGAGCCCCTTCCTTTCTGAAAGCGTCTCCCCTGCCTGTATACCATTTCCCTGGCCAAATGGGGCTCAGCCACTTAGAAATGCCAGGCTTCGATTGGTAAGCAAACAGAGAATCAGAAGGCAAACAATGATTCTCTGCCTGCTCCTGCGTGTGGGGACTGGTCTCTCCAGCTCTGGCCGGACTTGGCTCCACCACTGTGGCTGTGCAGCACCAGGCCAGGATTCTCGGTTCAGGGCGGAGCTACGGACCTGGCAAGGAGCTGGTATTCAGCTCCCTGACAATCTATCACGAGACGGCGGCCTCCTGACCCCTCTGCCTTCATACCTTCAAGTCCGATTAACTCGCACACAGGCTGATGCCATCATTTTGCTTGAGAGATTCCATTGACTCACCGGATTTCAAAAACAGGGGCCTAGTGCCCCTGCCCCGCCCCACTCCACACTGCCCCCACCTTCCCCTTTCATTCTCAAATTTCACTGGCAGGGGAAATATAGACCCCGCTTGCCTGGAGAACAATCTCTGGAACTGTGCAGCTTTGTTAAAAGAGTGTTTTAACTTGAGAGTTGTAACTCTACAATTTTAAAGGGGGAGAAAGGGAAGGAGGGGGTGGAGATAATGGTACTTTCCCCACCTCTCAGCCAGACAATGCAACAGGCTTAATAATCCGGCTGGTGCAAGAAAATGGTTTCATGTTTTGGCAATCAACCAAGCCCTTGGGGATTCTCAAGAGTAGCAGTCACCCGGGGGGGGGGGGATGTTCTTTTTCTTTTTTTAAGTGCATACATGAAAACAGCTTTTCTTCTTTGGCTCATTTGCTTGTGTTAATAATTTCCCAATCGTTTGGTAGATCAGTTTGCCCTGAGCTGTGATCCCTTTGACGTGGGATTTATTTGGACAGTTTATGATAAACAAGTGAAACAACAACAAACAAATGGAACACAAAGAAAAATGGAAAATGATTTTGTGGGGGTGAGGAACTGTAGAAACACAACAAAGCAGGCCTGGCAGAAACTCCCAAAATTAAATGCATTTAAAATACAGAGGCTTGGGTGACCTAATTGATTTAAAAGACCTGGGTGACCAGAAAGGGTGAATGAAAAGATGGAAAGTTGGTCCCAGGAGAACCTCCCTGCACCGGCTATTCCAACTGGAGTGCCACTGCTGACGGTTGCCCAGCTGGCTTCATTTGGTGGGGGCACCCAAAGGTTTGGGTAGCCTAACTATGGCAGAAAGTGACTTTGGCCTGTTCCCAAGTTACCAACAGCAGTGGTTCTCCAAGTGGGTGGTACTGCTCCCTGAGGGGTGGGGTACTGAGGGGGGCACTGGGAGTTTAAATGACTACCAAGACTTCTAAAAGCTGGCATCACTGGACCAAGTTCATCAATGTTGTTGGATTAATTCAATTAAATAGTTTTAACTGGATTTTGAATAAATGCGCAATTCACTGCTGCTGTTTTGAATGTTATTGTGTTGTTCTCTTCCTTAGTGAGTCGCGCAGACCACTATTGTGAACAATGCTCTTTATAGGGTAGAGCAGCAGACACTGGGGATGGGTTTAGGGAACCAAGCATTTGAGAACCACTGGCTTACAGCTTTAAATGAGATAAAGCCAGCACTTTAAAATGATGAGCTGGAAACAGACTGAGGTGGTGATGGGGAGAGAGTAGAGCTGGCGAAGCACAAGGTCGACCCACTTAATCTCACATCCCTGCTTTGGACCCCTTGCAGTCTCTGGACCTTTCTTAAAGGCTGCCCCATGTATAATGCAAGAGTCTAAACGGGACGTTATCAGAACATGGGGAATAGGAGCCAAGGTATCACCATCCAGGTAAGATGACAGGTTGCAGATCAGCTGATAAAAGCCACGTTGAGCCACAGAGGTCACTTGAGCTACTAATTCCATTGCTGTATCAATAAACACCTTTAGATGGCAAAGCCAATGTTTTTTTGGGGGGAGTGCAACCCCCATCTAGAACAGGCTGCTCACCTGTATATGTGCATATATATACGTCTCTCTGTGTGCATGTGTTGATAGATATAATTGTGGAATCGAGAGGTAATAAAAATGTATTCTTTCTAGGAGGAAGGAAAACAAAAGCACCTCAGATTTTCCAGTTTTCCAAAGGAGGTGTCCCTTTGAGACCCAGCACTTAGCCTCCGCTCTGAGGGGAAGGATTCGAAAACCCGAAGGCAGCTTAATTGCCCAACCTTGTGGAGGAAGATGCAGTTCCTGTTGAACTCTGAAACCCATTCAAGGGAAATAACATTGACTGGAGGGATGGGGTGGGGGCGGCGGAAGAGACATGGATGTCACGTAACTTAGGGCTTCCAGCCAGACCCCTGGAACTCGGCCACCTGCCTCCAACCGGTTTGCTTTGGGCTCAGAAAGCAACAAGTGGCTTTGTGGCAAAAAATTCCACGGGCAACTTCCTTGTGTGGGGGAAAGGATGTCATTCAGAGTCACCTGATGATAATAAATGCTGAGACTGTTGACCAAAAAAAAGGGGGGCTTCTCTCCACTTTGACAGTCTTTTCATCCCTGAAAACCATGAAGGATATAAGGGCTGCTTGCAACCTGCCTGGAAGAAGAAAACTCCCTCCATCAACTGACATGAAGATCTTGGATGAAGGACATGACTCCCCAGTGTTGTGTAGTTGCTACAGTGCTCTACTAGGACCAGAGTTCATATCTCCACTCTGCCATGAAGCTCACTGGCTGGCCTCGGGCCGGACACCAGCTCTCAACCTAACCCACCAATATAGATGGCATTAAAGAAAGTTTAGGAACGCGGGTGGCGCTGTGGGTTAAACCACAAAGCCTAGGACTTGCCGATCAGAAGGTCGGCGGTTCAAATCCCCGCGACGGGGTGAGCTGCCGTTGCTTGGTCCCTGCTCCTGCCAACCTAGCAGTTTGAAAGCACGCCAAAGTGCAAGTAGATAAACAGGTATCGCTCCGGCAGGAAGGTAAACGGCGTTTCCATACACTGCTCTGGTTCGCCAGAAGCGGCTTAGTCATGCCGGCCAGCTCCCTCGTTCAATAAGGCGAGATGAGCGCCGCAACCCCAGAGTTGACCATGACTGGACCCAGTGGTCAGGAGTCCCTTTACCTTTACCTTTAAAGGAAGTTTGGACAAATTCATTGAGGAGGAGGCTATCAATGGCTACCAGCCACAATGGCTCTATGCTCTGCACCAGGGATAGTAATGTTTATGAATACCTGTTGCTGGAGACCACAAGGGCAGAGGGTGTTCCTGTGTTCAGGTTCTGCTCGTGGGTTTCCCACAGCTATCTGGCTGGCCACTGTGAGAACAGGATGCTGGACTAGCTCAGCCTTGGTCTAAATCCAGCAAGGCTCTTCTTATGTTCTTACTGTTTTTAAAAATAGTAGAGCAGCTCTCGGAGGTATCGTTCAGATTGGACTTCTTACTGTCCGAATCCCCTTTTAATTGACACCAAGCACAATCCTTGCTTCTTTATTTAATTTTACCCTGCATTTAGACAACTCTAATTCTCGGCAACAAAGGTCCGTGTAGTTAAAGCTATGGTTTTCCCAGTAGTGATGTATGGAAGTGAGAGCTGGACCATAAAGAAGGCTGATCACCGAAGAATTGATGCTTTTGAATTATGGTGATGGAGGAGACTCTTGAGAGTTCCATGGAGTGCAAGAAGAGCAACCCTCTCCATTCTTAAGGAAATCAGCCCTGAGTGCTCACTGGAAGGACAGATCCTGAAGCTGAGGCTCCAATACTTTGGCCACCTCATGAGAAGAGAAGACTCCCTGGAAAAGACCCTGATGTTGGGAAAGATGGAGGGCACAAGGAGAAGGGGACGACAGAGGACAAGATGGTTGGACAGTGTTCTCGAAGCTACCAACATGAGTTTGACCAAACTGCATGAGGCAGTGGAAGACAGGAGTGCCTGGCGTGCTCTGGTCCATGGGGTCACGAAGAGTCGGACACGACTAAACGACTAAACAACAAGAACAATTATCAGCAAAGATAAGTGGGATTCTGGGAACGACTTGAGACCCAGACACATATTACTCAGATGGAGTAAATCTGAATGCTTTGCCTTTCCCTCATCTATTCTGCATTTCTTTAAACTACAAAACTTTTGCACAGTGTATTCTGATTTTGCTCGCCATAAGGCGAATCAAGGGACTGTGCAGGGCATCACATCCCTGCATCCAACCACTCCGAAATTTATTCTGTGACCCTTCTTTTGCTCTAGAGACCATGCTGCATATTTTCTCATTCATAAGGCTCAGCCCACGACGAATATCCTCAGTAAGAAGTAGCTGAGTAAGGAAGAAGTAAAATTCCCCCTGCAGAAAATGGTACTTTAAAGCCAGAAAATGTAGTCGTCAACCTCCGCTGCCCCCCTCCCGCATCCTGCCCCAACACTGCTTCGAATCATTTTCATCAAGCCAGTATACTTAAAATACCTCAGCCTTACAAGTTTCAGCTGGAATGCATCACTATAAAACAGAGCTAAACCCTGCCTCCAGAACTATCCCATTACATTAAGAGCTCCAATGGAGAGCAAGGGACTTATCTGGTGGTGGAAAACTTGCAAGAGGCATGGCCTGCAACCAACTCCGCCAGCTCCCTCCCTCCCTCCTCAAAAGCTTTCCCTCCCTCGTTATTTCATTATTGTGCAGGAGGCGAGATTGGCAGGTCCCAAGACAGGCGATCCGTGACAGGTTGGGGGGGGGCATTGTTGGAGCAGCGCTTTCACAGCCCCAAACTGCTTGTTTGTACAAGCCAACTCTTCAGAGACATACCTTCGGAGTTAAGTCAGCTGTCAGCTCGCTTTACTCCCCGCACCCCTCCCTCGAAAGACCCCTCCCCGCCTCTTTATGCTGCTCCTTGAGGTTGAGTGCATGGGCGGAGGACACACACAGAGAGGGCCCACGGCAATCGTGGTTTCCGTAAGAGCTGCCCCCCAAATTTTGCCAAAGGGAAAAAGTCAAAAGGACTTCAGAGGTACCTCTTGTGGGGCGGGGGGAAACTCAGGGATTATAGGGAAGCCAGAAAGCAAATCTCCCGAGGGTAGGGCTGTCCACACACCCCTAGTTTCAGAAGTGTGGTTACAGGATGGTTTGGCAACGCTGAAATGCTTTGCAAGGCTTCGCATCACTATTACATTTAAGATCATTGGTGCTTTCACCAACAGATCAGTGCTCTGACAGTAGAGAGACAAGCAACATGTGACTAGAGCAGCCTTCACCAACCTGGTGCCCCCCAGACTACAACTTCCATCATCCCCAGCCAGCTATATGGCACGGGAACTGATGGGAACAGAGCCACACTGACTTCTGGGGGCTGATGGGAGTTGTAGTCCGAGACATCCAGGTGATATCATCTTGGCGAAGGTTGGATTAAACTGTGAGCCTCGGCTGATTGCGGAGGACCCCTTAGCCACAGGAGGGTGGGTGGGTGTCCCCAACACAATGGATTTGTGCAAACGTTTTATCCTGCGGCCTCAGAGCCGAAGTGCAAAATAACATGCAGCGGTTCTGCAAAAACTAAGCACTGCCGTACTATTTCATTTTTAAAAGACAGAACTCACCAGCTCCTTTTTAAATGCCCTTCTTAGAAAAGCATTCCCCTGCCTGCCCCCTTTTGCTGGCTTTATCTCTCCCTGATCCTTGGAGCGTGGCCCAAAGCCAGCGCTGGTTATTAATTAATCTTGAGGGTGCAAGTTACATTCCTGGCAAGTCTCACCACTTCCTGCACTGGCTGAGGCAGCGGGCATCGTTTGCCCTGCGCTTCTGATAATAATGCAACCGCAAGACCTAGCGTTCACAGCTTGTTACCCACAACAAAGAAACCCCAAACTCTACAGACGTTTTTCCCCCTTTTGCATTTTTTGATGGAAAGCACACAGTTAAAACCAGGGAAAGAGGGAGAAGCCTTGAAGAGAGGCGTGAGGTTTTACCAGGAATGCCACAATGGCCTGTGACCACCTGGCGCCCCCCCAGGTGGTTTAAACTACAACTCCCGTAAGTCCCAGCCTGTTTGGGAGCTATAGCCCAAAACATCTAGGAGGCATCAGGCTGGCATTGAGAGTTTAGAACAGGATGAGGGAAGACAGAGCCTAGGATCAAATCCCCTTTTGGCTGTGGATGCCTCCGGAAGATGCAAGCAACACTCTTAGGCAGGGGTCAGCAACCTTTTTCAGCCGTGGGCCGGTCCACCATCCCTCAGACCATGTGGTGGGCTGGACTATATTTTGAAAAAAAATTATGAACGAATTCCTATGCCCCCCAAATAAACCAGAGATACATTTTAAATACAGTGGTACCTCAGGTTACATACGCTTCAGGTTACAGGCTCCGCTAACCCAGAAATAGTACCTCGGGTTAAGAACTTTGCTTCAGGATAAGAACAGAAATCGTGCTCCGGCGGTGCGGCAGCAGTAGGAGGCCCCATTAGCTAAAGTGGTGCTTCAGGTTAAGAACAGTTTCAGATTAAGAACAGACCTCCAGAACGAATTAAGTACTTAACCCGAGGTACCACTGTAAAAGCACACATTATACTCATGTAAAAACACCAGGCAGGCCCCACAAATAACCCAGAGATGCATTTTAAATAAAAGGACACATTCTACTCATGTAAAAACACACCGATTCCCTGTCCGTCCGCGGGCCAGATTGAGAAGGTGATTGGGCCGCATCCGGCCCACGGGCCCTAGTTTGCCTACCCCTGCTCTTAGGCTTTATACTACATTGGCTCATCCTGGAAAATAGCCCACTATTACAAAAATCCCATCTTCTGCTTGACCGACTTTTTGCCTCTGGTCCTGCCCACTGCTACTCACATGCGGCCCCCAGAAGCTTGCCTGCAAGGGAGTGCGGCCCTCAGGCTGACAGAAGTTCCCTGCCCCTGTAACAGACAAAACACCTCAACAGGCAACTCAGCAAACAGGGAACCAAGCCACCCCACTGCCAGGATGAAGCTGGGGTACCTGAGAAAACTGGCACAACCATCATTACTGAAAATGTAGACAGACAACATGAAAGCTTGCTGCTCTAAAGAGCTTGTGACATGGATGTGGGCGGCAGCTAGGATTTCAATAGCCCCGTAGTCTTGAAAGATCTACATCTGTGGTACAAGACTTTGGCTACTGCAGAAAAAGTAATACATAAACTGCACATCTCCAGAGAGATGAAGGATCCAGGCTGCTTTTATGTCATCTGGTGGGCAATGTTAGAAACTCAGGTATATAATCTAGGTGCCAAATGGCAGCTCAAATCTCGGTTACAATCGCCACACAACGGAAGGCCTATTCGCCAGGCGGTTGGACTAAATGACCCCTGGGATCCCTCTTTCCAACGCTATAATTCTATGATTCTATTATCTGAGCCACATTGTTTGAGTGTAACTTGCTCTTACAACAATTCACATGTCCCAGTGTGCAAGAAGGAGAAACACACACACATTTCCACAGTGGAAGTGGAAATGGTATAGACTAAGACATAGGTTTTTAAACTGTGGATGCCAACCTGATGCCCAGAAAGCTCCACGAAGTCGTAACTGGATCTGTGTCAGTAGCAAAATGTGCTTGGCGCCTGGCTAATTTCAAAACTGCTGGTGGGATTTTATTTCCTATGCTTTGGACTTGGATGCTCAACATTCGCCATCCAAGTCGTCTTGGGAAAGAGAGTGTCTTGATTTGAATTGGTGTGTGGTTGTTTCTTTCTCTTATTGTTTTCATTGCTTGCTTGCTTTGCATACGGTGCAATGCTACCGCACTTTGGGGTTGTTAGTACAGTGGTACCTCGGGTTACAGTCACTACAGGTTACAGACTCCGCTAACCCAAAAACAGTACCTTGGGTTAAGAACTTTGCTTCAGGATAAGAACAGAAATTGCGCCACTGCGGTACGGTGGCAGCGGGAGGCCCCATTAGCTAAAGTGGTGCTTCAGGTTAAGAACAGTTTCAGGTTAAGAATGAACCTCCAGAATGAATTAAGTTCTTAACCAGAGGTACCACTGTAATGGCGATTAAGGAAATTTACAACAACAACAACAACAACAACAACAACAACAACAACGCAGTGCTATTTTGGATTAGGACTTTTGCAGGGCTGTGATCCTGTGACCTCAGTGCAGCTTTGGCAGAAGAAGAGGGGTGAGCCGAAGGCCTAAGGAAAGCAACCCCTTCCCACACCAAAACCAACACCAGAGGCAGAGGAAAATCAGAAAAGGGGTGTGAGAGAGAGACATCTGATCTGTTTGGCCATTACAAATCAGAGGGTACATGAAGATCTGTGATGGCATATGTCAAAGTTCTTTTTCTCTAAGGTTTATTTCCTTAAGAGGTCCTGTCGATTTTTTTTGGGGGGGGGAGCAAGAGAAGAGAAGCTAGGCAGGACGTGACAGCCACTTTCTCCCCCCGCACACGGACAGAGTTGGTGGCAGCCATCGCAACACTGTTAGGAACAAAACAAAGCCGGAAACAAAACTGCACGGTTCACATTTTTAAAAAAACAGTGCAAAGGGGGGGGGAGAGAGCAAGCACACACAAACATGGGATTAAATCAGCCCATCTCTAAACTGGCACCCTCCAGATGTTTTGGGCTGTGATTCCCATCAACCCCCTCAACATCACGGCAGTGCTGGCAGCGGGGGCTGATGGGAGTCGTGGTCTGAAACATCAGGAGGGCGCCAGCTTGGGGAAGGTCTGAGTCGAGTCAACATCTGCAAAAGATATCCCCGCCGAACCAAAGAGCAGGATTTCATTAAGTAAATTGCAACTTGGCACAAATTCTGAAAGAAAAAAAGGGGTGGGGGGAAGCCACAGTCAAGCCTGTAATTTAAGCCCCGCTTTCAGGGTGATGGCATGACTGCAACAGACTCCGGCTTCCAAGCTGACTTGAAATAAAATAACCGCCTGCCCCCCCCCCGCTCCTGCAAGCTCCACCTCAACGAACCACAATGTTTGCAGGTAATTATAACATTAGGAAGAGCCTCCCTGCTGGGGAGATAAAAAGGAGAGTCTGGAAAGCAGAGAGAGGATGGAGGTCCCATCTCTCCAAAGCCGCCATTGTCATCTGAAACAAATTTACCAAGTGACCAGGAGTGTAACTCTCTGGGGAGAAGCTTTTGACCACAGGGGTGAGCTCCAGAGTTGCTCAGCTCAGCAGCTTGCCGTGCTGGCACAACTACCCAAAAGCACACAAAAACTGAGCGTGCAAAAGGGAGTCAGCAAGGGCTGAAACGGTAGTCCAGGAGCCAGAAGCAGGTGTGCAAAGTCAGTCCAGCAGGATGTTCAGGCCCAGGTTCAATTACTCTCCTCAAGCCCCAACCACACTGGAAACAGAATTAGTTTGCTGCAAGCCGAGAAGGTGGTTTGATAATGCTTTCCATTAGTCTGGTTGCTTCTTTCAAGGCAGTTGTGTGAAAACTGGATGCAATCCCTTCCAGTGACTCAGCAGTGTGCAAATGCTCCCCACCAAAAGACCAGGAGGAACCTCACCAAAGGAAAATCACACACACAAACACACAAAACAATGCCACCTAAAAATAAACCAACTCGCTATCAGCTTGTTGCCTGCTGCTAGTGGGCATGCTTTATTGCTTCAACCCTGGCAGAAGATTTCAGCTCTCCCAAAGTTAACAAAAACAACCTTCCAACTTTCTGAGTTAAATGCAAAATTGGTAGGGGAAAAAGAAGGAGCAGCAGCAGCCCACATCACCAATTATTTGCTTAGACTGGGCTTGGCTTCTTGCAATTTTCCTGGCACTTAAGACTACAGTCTGTTATTTTGGAAGGCTCTCCACTGTATACAGAGCTCAGAAACCAGCAAGCTGACTTCCTCCGTGGTCTAAACATCCGCATGCCGTCCCTAGCTGGATAAAACTGTGCACTTCAGGAAACAGCACAAGAACCCTCAGTAATTCTGTGTGTGGAGAACAAACAGGCATCACCAAGAAAGCAAAAGCAAGATTTCTAAAGCAGAGCCTTTCTGTGATCCATTCAACAGGGGGTTGTGATTGCAACACAAGCCATTTTATCCAGCTTCCAGAATATTATCTATTGCACCCACTGGATGCCTGAGGATCTCAGCATCACTCCTCAAATGAACAAGCACCTGACCCTTATGATTGCAGAGATGAGCTTGTTAGGTGGGGTGGCCCAAGAAGCCTGAGTCCTGGATCTTTTGCTCTGGGCCCTAGATGTGTTGCCTCTTCCTACTTTCGGGAGGGGGGAGCCTCTACCTAAACATCTTATTGGGGCATCCAATGAAGCTGAATGTTGGAAGATTCAGAGCATAGAGGAAGGGGGGGGACTTCATCACACAGAGCATAGCTCAACTATGGAACTTGCTCCCATAGGAGGCAATGAAGGCCACACCTTGCATTGCTTGAAAAGAGGGTTAGATGGATTCTCAGAGGATAAGGGAATCAATGGTTACTAGGCATGGTGTCTATGCTCTCCCTTCACTATCTGAGGAGGTGTGCCTCTGAATGCCGGTTCCTGGGAAATTCAGGTGGGGAGAGTGGCTGTTGCGCTCAGGTCCCGCTTGCAAGCTTCCCACTGGAGTATTGGGTTGGCCACTGTGAGAACAGGACACTGGACTAGATGGGCCATTGGCCTGATATCGCAGGTTTCCTCTTAAGTTCTTAAAAGCTATTGGGTAACCCACACAGTTCAATCACAGAGCCCATACTTTGCATGCAGATAGTCTCCCTTTTAATTTGCATTCTCTTCCGTTTCCCTTCTAAGGAAATTATAAGGCAATTTCAAACATTTACAGGACTCGTGACTTGAACTGGACTTTTGGAGAGGCATCTAAGCGACAGAGGATACTTCTCTTTTAACAGCTTTTCCTCTCCTTCTTAGAGTCATCAGCCCACCATTATCCTCCAAATTCCCCTCCTCCTCTTCTGATGTGCCACTTTGCAACAGAAGGTGCTCTCCATAAATCAATAAAGTGCTAACATTTTCCGCCGATGCCAAATGAGATCTTAAGTCTAATAAAACACAGCTGAGTGTTTTATTTGATCTGACCAATTACTCCACACTTGCTCTTGTGGAAAGTAATGTTCAGGATTACTAAATTTTGGGTTGGTACTGATGAAACTATTGCCCCTGACTGGGGCTGGTGGGAGTTCTGGTGCAAAACATCTGGAGGGCACCAGGTTGGGAGATGCTGTTGTGACAGGAAAGAATGAAGCATGCTTAATGGATAGGGAAAATGGAGACCATTTCATAAAGCGAAGAGAAGAGAACTCTTAACTCCTAATCTGAATTTGCATGGTACAAATCCAAATACAGTGGTACCTCGGGTTGCAGACGCTTCAGGTTACAAGATTTCGGGTTGCACACCGCGCTTAACCTGGAAGTACCAGAATGGGTTACTTCCAGGTTTCGGTGCTCATGCAGAAGCACCAAATCGCAACCCGCATGTGCGGCACTGTGGGTTGCGAACGTGCCTCCCGCACGGATCATGTTCACAACCTGAGGTTCCACTGTATGCAAAGTGCAGCTGACTGAGCATCATTCATGGAACAGATCTTTGGTGATAGGCAATCTGCAAGTGTGAAGGATCCTTTTGCCTGTAAATGTGAAAGGAAAAGCCTTTTTGGATGTTCCTTTTTTGCTCTGTGACCTTAAAAAACAAACCCTCTCATCAGGGCTAATACTATGTTCTGTCACTAGATGTCACTATTCTTAGTTTATAATTTGTCTACGCTTTTCTCTAGCACAGAAACAGAAGGAAAATGTACAGCAAAGCCTTGATACACTAGCATAAATTTATTCCATTTGCAGAAATGTGGGTCTGCAGGTAGCAGAATTTGGACTTTGGTATGGATTGAGAGAATATTTAATAAGCAGGGATAACTGAATGGAAAAACCCGACTCTTATTTCAATGGTCCTTTAATTTTTACATTCCCTGTTGTGTTTGCCCTCACAACTAGCCCTGTGAGGTAGGTCATGGCTACTTAGGTTTCCCATCCCCCGATGAGGAACTGATACAGTGACCTGCGTAAAGTCACATAGCAAGACTACTGCGGATGTAAGGCTTGCATTGCAGTCTGTCAGATTTGTCCATTACATCAGGGTACTGGCCAGCTATCATTTTCTGCCTGGTTGATAAACAGTGTGAGTCCCAATTTAGGTCCAACGTTTCTCAAGTCACTCAACCTATTTCTTTGTGAGCTTGCCAGAGGCATCTGGTAGGCCACTGTGAGAACAGGATGCCGGACTAGATGAGTCTTTGGCCTGATTCAGCAACCAGCCTCTTATGTTCATTTATACCACCATCTGAGAGGGCAGGAATTGGGTCCTCTGTTTGCAGAGCAATTTCAACAGGACTGGAAAATGTAACTGGCTGTTTGCAAAGGAAAACACACACACACACACACACACACACACACCCCGCACAGCCTCTTCCTCCAACTCAGACTAGAGAACCTCTGAATGTCCCAAAACGGTTTCCAAAACGGGGTAACTTCCAAAGAAAACCATTCAGATGCGGCAGGGGGCATGAGGTTACCACAATATATTAAAAATAACAACAACTAGCAGTGCCCTGAGAAATGCAAGGAATGCGGGAACATTGGAATGATTTAGCAGGAGAAAACATTATGGGAGTGCAGGACTTAAATGCAGCCTTCCCTCCGCAGAGCCCATGCATTTGAAATGCCTTCCAAATCGCCACTGTCGTTCCTCATGCACCATCATCTCACAGCAATACAAAGTCATACTCCGCAGGGCAAATAAACACGTTTCCTCTCTCCCCCCAACCCCTTTCCTCAATCTCAGCTTTTAAAATAAAATAAAAATTCTCATTTCTTAAGCTTTATGACTCTGCTCCGCTTGCAAGAAAGAAACAGTCCTTGGTGCCCCTGCTCAGAACTGCTGACATTTCAGGGGAATGAAGTGACCGAGCAAATTACTGTGAAGTCCCCAGGGCTTTCCAGATGGAAACTGCACTCGTTGCCGACGTGTTTGGAGGTGCAGAGTCTTTTTTCCCCCTTTGACGCAAGCGAGGGCTCCCGGTAATGGAAAAAAGGAGTCCGGTCTGTCACTTCGTCACTTCACGGTCCTGTGGCAAAGTGCAGGGGGGTTGTGGCCACCTAGGGCTGGTGGGGAAGGAGAGGGGCACTGGAAATTGCCTGAAACCAATTCCTGCACAAGGAAACTTCCAGAGGGGGTGAGAGCTGTGTGTCAAATATAATGAAGGGGCTTGCAAGCACACGTTCCTTGAGCACTTTGGCCTGGCCGAAATACGTCCTTGGAAAGTGAAAATGCCTCTCATTTCCTGGATGGATGTTGGAGAGGTGTGTTTGTGGCTTGTGCAGAAACCACTGGCCTTTGCGTGCCTGCAATCCAGCCTATTATGCAAAGGGTAGGGGGCACATCCATGGATAAACCCACTTTCGCCAATGACATGTGGCCCCCCAAAAAGTTCCCTATGAAGAGATGTGGCCCTTCCCGTCCCCTGGGAGATGCTTTCATGGTGCCCAGAGTCCAGTTCAGCAGCTGCAACGCTTACACAGAAGGTAACTTAAAACGTACAGACACCCCAAATCCCACCACTGCCGGGTCAAAGGCAGCACAGCTATGGAAGGGTGAAGGGGAACCAATGGAGTTTATTCCCTGTGAACTCCAGTAAGCAATGGCAGAGGCACTGGGCTGGGCTGGTGGGGCAGAAGACAGGGAGCCTGAGAGTAGGTAGCACCAGAGCAAATAAGTCCAGTTTTGTCCTCACTGTTAAAATCTACAAGTGCGACACCTGGGATGAAGAGAGAGGTATAGGGCTGAGCGATATCAGGTTTTCAACGTTGTGAAGCATCACCAGCTAATCATTGCAATACATCACAATGTTGAAAAGGAAAGAACACTTCCGCTGGCCTTGAAAGGCACCAGGGTGAAGTCGCTGCTGCCAACGCCTGGCGCAGGGATGAAGGAGGCAGCTCGCCCACTGGGTCGGAGAAGCTAAGGCAACAGCTGGCAACTCCCACTCTCAATATACAGCTGGGTCAAAACACCATTGTGATCTGGCCCTCAAGCCTGTCCTGGATGACGTACCAATACATTGCCCAAGCCTAGGGAGGAAACTGGCAGGCAGGGCCACCCCCTGGTCAGTAAGTGAGTGGCTGGCTGAGGATAGGCTGAGGTCAGTGGGGCAGGGCCCCCATTTGCCCCAGTAGACCTGCCTCCCCCACGCACAGTGAATATGGAAGCACAAGAGTTCCCTGCCAAATGTTAGCACAAGCTAATCAAGAGCACCAGAGCCCTGGAGTCCTTATGGCCTTGAGGCAGGCCTCTCCAAGGTTGCTTTGTCCCAATACGGGCAAGAAAGGTTCTCAGAGAATGTGTAGTCTATTGGGTCCAAAATTAGCCTCTGGAAAGATCTGTGTTTGGGTTGTTCCCAAAACTACTCAGCCTGTCCTGAAAAGATAGCTGAGCTAACAGCTCCGACCATGACTGAAGGCCTACCAAGTGCGTTTGTATAAATTTCAGGAAGTACTTTAAACATTTACACAACAAGTCATTTAAAGAGAAACCTGTTATGTCTCAAAAATGCAACCGCTAATCATTCTGGAGTTACCATCGGTCATTTCAGGCTTCCTTCCCCCAGAATATCTCCTTTTCAAGGACAGAAAATAAAGAATTGCTAAGGAATCTTCCTTTCTGGGCTTGAAACCTAACAATCTATATTCACAATGAACCCTATAGGAGCCTCCAAGCCAGATTTTGCCAACCTGTTGCCCACTATGTGTTTTGGATGACACCTCCCATCACAACAACAGCTGGGTCTGGTGGAAGCTGCTCCTTGGTAACAAGAAACATCAAAACCTGCTTGTGGGTTCGTTTCTCTGGCCCCGGAGACTATATCAGAGAAGGGCATTCATCCATTCTTGCACGCTTTATAGAATTCGCAACCTATTCAATCTCCTGCTTCTTTCCACAGGAGGGGAGCAGCCTGGGATACTTTGACCAGAATTCTGCAAAGAAAAGAAGATAGACAGAGAGGAGGGCCAACGGTCTGGATGCTGGGTAAAGGCAAAAAATAGCCCCATTTCGCAATTTCCTTAGAAACTAAGAATCATATGTGGCTGCAGGTTCCAAGTTTCTATCAGGGCCCAATGTGCGGCAAGAGAATGTGAGAAAAGGCTGAGTGCTGGATCAGGCCAAGAACCCCTTCATAGTCCAGTATCCTGTTCTCACAGTGGCCAACTATGTGCCCCAATGGGAAGCTCCCACTGTACTTTCCAGAACCTCCAGGCCTGCCAGTTACTGGGTCTAGCAGAGTCTGACTGGGCAAGGAATGGGCTCTCCTCTTTGGGGTCACGGCTTCCGATCTGCTAGGCCCATCTGTCCTGTCCTAAAATTTTGTTTAATCCCCCTTTAAATCTATTCCCATTTGCTACCATCACCACAACATCCAGGAGTCTATTCCGTACATAGCATAACAACCAATTTACTAGGCTCTACTGACAGTCATCGAGTAGATGTTTATAGGATGAATTCCACCGGGAAACCCCATTAAGCCTTAACCAGAGACCTTCGGCTGGCCGTAATGCAACCTTCAGCTTTTAACAGGGAATACAGAGAATCTTGCAAAGTGGTGCCGCCAAGGAAATGGTTAGACCTGAAATAAGAACCCCATCAAAGAAAAGGAAATGAGTGCCCAGCCTCCGCTTGATCATTTGCCTACTCTCTTGACTTCCACCTGCAGTACTCTTCCCCAAAAAATGAGCAAAACTTGAAAGCCTCCACATCGCATCATTCACTTGCAAGGAGGGCCCATCAGCTATGCTGGCATTCCAGCTGATGACATCATCGCAAAAGGAAGAAATCTGATTTCCACCAGGGGGGAAACTAAGCAATTCTCAAAATAATCATCTGCACCCCAACTTTTAGGCAGCTGTTCTGTTTCCTCCATCAGGCTTTGTCTCAGGACAGTGTTCATTAACAGGGTGCCCTCCACGTCAGAACCAACCAAAACGCCACAAAATAAGTGAGCATGCTTTTGAGATCTCCAGAACCCTTCATCAGGCCGGATTCTGAACAAAGCAGTTTTCAGTCTCAAAACTGGTGAAATAGGGGTGGGTGGGTCCCAAAGCAAGTTTTTAGTATTTAAAAGAGGAGCAAGAGTGATGACAGCGAAACGAACTACCTCGCAAGGTAGCCGGGCTCTCCTTCATTGGAGGTTTTTAAACAGAGGCTGGACAGCCATTTGTCAGGGATTCTTCAGCTGTGATTCCTGTATTGCAGGGGGTTGGACTAGATGACCTTTGGGGGTCCCCCTCCATCTCTTACGATTCCAAGTTTCCACTACCGGAAGACAGGACACAAATCAACCAAGGAAACAAACATTTCTGCATAAAGCAACTTGTCATCCAAGAGTGCTGTCTCCCAAAATGACGCTGAGGAATTTTAGCATCTCATTGCTCCACCGGGGCTTGCTCCTCAAAATCTGGTGCCACTTCTAAATATTTCAGATATTCTTCCAGCCATGGAAATGAGGGTTGTTGATGGAGGTGCCAGACTTGGGGTGGGGGGAGAGCATACAAACACCAACTCAGCATGCCAACATACAAATAACGCACCCTGGACCTTACAGATTTCCTGTTAAAAATATGAACCAAATCTTTGGACACAGAGATGCTGGGGGGCTGGCTATATTCCAGCCCCACCAATATACGCCCAATGTTTATGATGTGCAACAGGGAAATGGAAAGACCCACAGACAGTTCACGTTATCAAATGCACAGCCAAAAACATGAGACAGGTAATCCTCTTCTGAATGAACGAAGCTCGATTAGAGATAATGAAATATAGAAACGCACATCCTCCTCCAAGTATTACATCACCATCGATTTCTAGATAGCTGGAATCTCCCGCTGATGGATTCATAGCCATCTCCTCCCTACCAATCAATTTACAACTGCTGCAAGGTTGCTGAAACGCTGCCTCGTTTTCTACTTTTTCTTTCTTTTATGAAGCCAGGATGGCTGCTTGTATATGCAAATGCGGTGCCGAAATCCACAAAAGATTCCAGTGCGCGCAAAATACCGCTTTGGGAATTCACGTTACGCCCCAGGCAACATGTGTTTACATTAATGTGAATGGGGGAAAGGCGCTCGCGGAGGGGAGGGAGGGGTGGAGAGCGCATGAAAACAGTGAGCATTTCAAAAGCAACAGACCCAGGAGCAGAGAGCTGGGGAGGCTAGGAGCGCCGAAAAAGGCCGCCGGGCAGCATTAAGGAACAAGCGAGGAACATGCAGCAGCAGAAACAAATGCCAATTCCAACTCCGCCAGGCCCCTCTCTGCGCGCAGAGTTTTGCTCCTGCCTTCGAGGGGAAAACTCATTTTCATAACCAGCTGTTTTTAATTGTGCATTCTTCGCAGCATGCCTAAATAAGTGGGGGGGGGGGATGGAAAGAACGCAGGGCTGACGGGGGTTTGTAGGGTTGGCGGGAGGGTGGGGGAAGAAGAAAGATCAGGGCTTTAAATAATTCTGGGCCGACTTTGACAAAAGTTGAGTGGGCTAGAACGATGCAGAATTTGCCACTCCGGCCCTGTGAAAAGAAATATCCCAATCTGCAAGCTCTTTTCTGGCGGTCTTGGCACAATTATCCTCACTTAAGAAGAAGAGAGGGCTCAGCGTCAGCATATTTAAGAACATGAGCAGCAACACAGCTATAGGACTCAACTCCCTCCCTCCAGAGCCCCAGAACACAAAATGGCTGCCACCGGAGGAGCAGAAGGTCTTGCCAATACCGGCTGCCTCCTATACCTGAGAGAAAAGGACAACCAAATTGATCAAGAGGATGGAGAGACTATCCTATGAGGAAAGTTTGCAGCATTTGGGACTTTTTTACTTTAGAGAAAAAGGTAGGAAGAAACGACATAACACAAGTTTACAAAATTATACCTGGTATGGCAAAAGCGGGCCCAGAAAAATTTTGTCCCTCTCTCCTAACGTTTCATTACATTACACAACATTACAGCTCATGAGAATCCAATGAAGCTAAATGTTGGACAATCCAGGGCAGGAAAAAGATCATTAAACTATGGAACTCTCTCCCACAGGAGGCAGGGATGGCCACCAGCTTGGATGGCTTTAAAAAAGGAGTAGGCAAATTCATGGAGGACAAGACTATCAATGGCTGCCAACAACAATATGGCTATGCTTTGCCTTCAGAGTCAGAGGCAGCAATGCTTCTGAATCCCAGTTGCTGGAAATGCCAGGAGGGGAAAGAGCTCTTGTGCTCAGGTCCTGCTTGCGAGTTTCACACAGACATCTGGTTGGCCGCTGTGAGAACAGGATACTGGACTAGACGGGCCACTGGCCTGGTCCAGCAGGCTCTTCTCATGTACAGTGGTACCTTGGGTTACAGACGCTTCAAGTTACAGACGCTTCAGGTTACAGACTCCGCTAAGGTTAAGAACTTTGCTTCAGGATGAGAACAGAAATAGTGCGCGGCAGCGGGAGGCCCCATTAGCTAAAGTGGTGCCTCAGGTTAAGAACAGTTTCAGGTTAGGAACGGACCTCCAGAACGAATTAAGTTCTTAACCCGAGGTACCACTGTACTTATGACTTTGCACCAATCCATTAGGAACAAGAACCAGGAAGAACGGCAGAGGGCACGTAACAGTCTGAGTCACATTTCTTAGAGCTAATGGCTCCCAGTTGTGGCATCTGGTTGGGGTAGGGGGAAAATAACCAACAACTCGATGACAGGAGTCACCAGGAAGTCAGAACATTCTGGCCAATAACATTAATTTACTTTGTACATTTATCACCCACCTATCAAATGTCCAGAAACCCGGGGGGGGGGTGAGCCCATGGGGTTGCCCATCCAGCCACTCACCAGGCCCAGACCTGCTTAGCTTCACCAAGGTGGTGGCTTCATAAGCCTTCAGACCACATCCTGGGGCTCTATCATGGGGTGCGGGAGCAAAGACGCAAGGAGTTTGGAAAGGGTTTCAGTCCAGAGACTGGCCAGCTAACAAAAAACAATGCTGGATAATTTCAAAATGGATCCCTATGTTTTCTTAGACACTCATAAATCTTTCGGTATCTGCCGCCAAAGCCACCTCCTTTGGGATAATCTCAACTTCCCTGAGAAGAGATGTGAGGGGCTAACCCAGATTTCACCAACCTGGCACCTTTCCTGATGTTGCTGAACTACAATTCCCATCAGCCCCTGCCAGCACAGTCAATGGCCAGGGGTGATGAGAGTTGTAGTCCAAAACTGCCTGGTGAGCACCAGATTTGTCGCCTGCATAACAGTGATTTGCGGAAGGCCAGTTTGTGAACCCACAACCCAAGATAGCCTTCACAAGGAACAACTCCTAAGAACATAGAAGCCCTACGTCTTGGAAGCAAGAAGGAGCAGCTCTCTCAAGCCACGGAGGCTCTTGCACAAATCTAGCCAGTCGAGCGCCAGGCACCTCTGCCCAGATTGCTTTGCATTCAAGAAGGAGCCTTGGCTGTTCCAAGCACAGCTGAATCCAATTTCAGATCACCAGATTCATATCGGTGGCGCTGAAATGGAAAACACTAAGGGCATTCTCAAGTATGTGTGGCTGCAACAATCTGAAAACTTTTATATATATATATAAAAGGGGGGGAGTATCCAGAGGAATTGCATGAAATGTTTCTACCAATAAACAAGCCAAGTACTTTCACATACCTCTGTTGAGGTTGGCCTTTGGTGACAGGGAGAAGGCTGAGAGAGACATGGGAGGGGGGGACACACTTAGAATGGGGGTCTTGGAAAATAAACCCGAACAGCTGGAAGGCATTGATGCGAAGGATTCTGCACTTCCAAGACCCATGCAAATGCACTTGTTGCAGAATTCCAGAAAAGCACCTCCACTGTCCTCTTCTGAGTTTTCTAATTACTGAAAAGAACATGCTTCTTGTTCCTACATGTGCAAAGGTCACATTAAAACAGGGGTCAGAAAGGTTTACCTTGCCTGGGCCAGTTCACTCCTGCAGAGATCACTTTGTGGGCGGAATGCGTCTGTGCAGACGCGATGTCCAGCGCTGTGGAAGAGAGTCCCTGCTCCACGCTGCAGCACTTTAGCGCAACGCACAGGGACTCGCCAAGTGGGCGGCTCAGCTCGGGGGCAGCTCATGGGCCGTTTAAACGACCCCAGTGGGCCAATGGGCCGCAGGTTGCCAACCCCTGCATTAAAACCTCACAAGCAAACGTTTGACGATTTCTTCGTAGCTCTAGTTGGAGGCTCCCCAAGGCAGTAGGACTGTCAAGTGCTGCTCTACCCATAACTCCCACTACTCAGCACCTCTCACAAGACTGAAGAACAGAAGATGTGCCTGCTGGATCTAGTCCATCATCCTGTTCTTGTAGTGGCCTTCCAGATGCCCATTATGGCAAACCTACAAGCAGCACTTGAGCACAAGAGCAGTCTCCCCTCCTGCTCTTCCCATCAGCTGGTATTCAGAAGCATTCCTGATTTTAAGCACTGGCAGCACAGCATAGTCTTCATGGCTAGTAGCCATCGATAACCTTCTCCTCAATGGATTTGTCTAATCCTCTTTGAAAGCCACCCAAGTTGCTGGCCCTCTCACTGCCTCCTTTGGGAGTGAATGCCGTAGTTTATAACTATGTGTTGCAGGAAGTAGTCCTTTCTGAAACTTCCAACTTTGCTGGATGTCCACTTCCCAGCCTGATCCACAGTTTCCTTTCACAGAACCCCTGCACTCACTGGCAAAGGACACATGACCCTAAGTGGATTGGGCAACACAGTCAGATAGGTGGGGTACAAATATGATGACGAGACCCCAAGTACTGTAATCAGGAGAAAGCTGAGTGTTTTTTGATTTCCCCTTTTCATTTTTTCAATTCTATGCTACGGTTATCAGATTTTTTTCAATGAATCCGGGGACACTTTTCAATTTCAATAGGAATGATAGGATTTTGTCAGGGGACTGATTTGTAAATCTGGGGACTGTCCCCAGGAAACAGGGATGTCTGGTAACCTTATTCTATACAGCCTATCTGGGATGTAAAATTGGGGGTGTCTTAACAGGGAATGCTTAATCAGTGTTTCCAAGGAAAATACTGTGACTGTTTTCAGACAAGTGCCATTTGTGTCGCGATACCCATAACAACAGTGGTGCTTAACAGTGCTTTCACTGTTGTCCGTGAGCTACCAGTGGTCCACAAACAGGAAACAAGGGGCGAGGGGACACCAGTGGAGAAGAGCAAGAAGAGAAGACACCGAGACATCAAAGTCTGGAGAGAAGCATAAGGTAGGCAAACATTCCTCATGCCTTATCTAAGAGACCTTTGTTGAGAATGACATCCATCCAACTCTGGGGGAAGGACCATCCATACTTTTGCATGCAGAAACCTTTTGGAACCTCCAGGCAGGGCTGGGAATACTAGTTGCCTGAACCCACCAAAGTTAATGCCGGCCAGCTAATGAGGTGCCCTCCTGTTCTTATTGGACTACAACTCCCATCATCCCTGACCATGCTGGCTAAGGCTGATGGGAGTTGTAGTCCAACAATATCTGGAGGGTGCAATCTTGGCTACTTCTGCTGTAGACAATATTGTGCTAGGTGCTTTGTATGAAGAAGTCCTCAGGTCAGTATCAAGCATCTTCTGGTATGCTGGGATCCATTTCATCTGAAAGTCTGCTTCCAGTCAGCATGGACTTTATTCAGCTAGATGGACCAATGGCCTGCCTCGATATAAGGCAGCTCTCTAGGTTCCTAGCTCTAAGGGCAGCTCTCGCCCCAACCATATCATGGGCATGGTGGCATGGGGATCCAGAAATTGCATGTGCTGTCACCCGGGGATAAGGAAGATCCGAGTCTTGGAAACCATTCCTGGAAAACAGTGAGCCCATTGCCCCCAACATTTTCCACAACAATGGCGTTTGCTAAATAAAAAAGCAAACCGAAAGGGGAAAACACACCCTGCTCTGAGGCGGAAAGGCAAGCTACAGCCAACAGCATTTCCCAACTGTAAAACAAGGTTCACTTTATTTATTATTTTGAAAACACAAATTACTTCCAAAAGCAAGAAAGCGGAAGGACACAGCCTGCCGGAGCTGGCCAATTGGCCGGCACTGGGCCAATCCCATAAATGTTTGGCAGTCAGTAGAATACAGAGCCCTCTTCTATTGAAAAGGGGGCTAGTGACTGCTATCCTCCCCCCCCCCCCGCTTTGCATTCCCAGCGGATTCATAAAACACTTTTCAGATTTCAGAATGCACTTCCTCAGCCTGTCCAAGTTTGAAAGCAAAGCCTGTAGGAAGTGGTTGGTCTTAACCTTTTTTTGCTATGGAGAGAGGGGGGGGGGGAGATGAACTTCTTCCACCAGCTATCATAGAATCTCATTGGAAAGCATCTTCAGACTTCTCCTGGGCATGAAACTCTAACCAACAGGGTGAAGGTCCGTAGCTCAGGGGGGTGGGCATCAGCCTTGCATGCAAAAGGTCTCAGATTTCACCCCACACAGTATCTCCAGATAGGGTTGGGAAAGACTAAGAACTAAAAACCCTGGAGAGTTGCTGCTGGTCAAAACTGACAACAGCAACTACAGGGATCCATGGTCTGACTGGTGCCTCTGTCCACACTAGACACTTAAAGCATTATTATACCACATTAAACCATGGTGTCTTCCACCAAAGAATCCCAGGAGCTGTATAGTTTGCTAAGGGTTTGTTAGGAGACTTAGTCCTCTCCCAGAGCTAAAATTCCCAGAAGGAGGATCGATTGCTAAACCACTCTGGGAACTGTGGCTTGGTGAGGGGCTCTCCTAACAGCTCTCCACACCCCTAACCAAGTACAGTTCCCAGGATTCCTTGGGGGAAGCCATGACTGTTTCAAGTGGTATGATGTAAAGTGCAGATGGGACCCAAGCAGAGGGCAGCTTCTTATGTTCCTAACACCAGGAGTTTCCACCCATGCTTTTCTGGGCACAACCCTCCCTTTTGCTCATCTGCAGCTTCCACCATTTCCTACATAAAGATGTAGAGTTCTACTTCTAACTTAAGAGCCCCAGGTGTGCACCAAGGTAAGCTTGCCAATGGAGGGAGTCACTCCCTTGCACATCCCTTTCATCAGTGGAATCAAAACTGCCCCCAGCAACAAAAGCTTTGCTTTCAAGTGAGATGCGTTAGAGGGGTGCAAACAGTGGCCTGGCTCACACTTATGGCTTTCTCCTCTTGGAGATTCAATAAAGCTGAGGTGCATAACATCCAGAGGCTACCAAGTTGGTGAAGGCTGCATTCAACTGTGTGCCAGGGAGGCAAGTGTGCAACGCAACCCAATGTATGTGCCCTCAGACCACTTGGCAGGATGCCATGGGGCAAGTGCATGTGTGCCATGTTTAAGGTTTTGATTTATTTTTCATAAAATTTATACACTGTTTGATTGTTTAAAGAAAAGAAAACATGAAAGTGGTTTACAAAAAGAATAAAGCAATAATATTATCAGCAAAGGCAGTTTAAAGCAACAATTTAAAACATTTATGTGTGTAGAATTTTGTAAGAAGAAAAATATGCATATATATATATATTTTAAAAAAATAATAATTAAAAGCAACTCTGAAGAGCGATGAAAATGCAAGTCTACATTCTATGTATCTGGGTAAGCTATGGGTAAATAAGAAAGGCTGCCATCGCTCAAGAGATGCCAAGGGGAGTGTGGATCCAAGACAGGTGGGCAGATGGTTCTTGGCTGAATAAGGCTCAAGATCTGAACACAAGCCTAGCCTCTGGGCCTTCAGAGGCAGGGTCCCATTGGTTGTCAAACCAGCTAAGAACAAAGAGCCACAGGAAAGACTACAGCCAGCCACTGTGCCGACATCATCCCAAACTGTCTTCTCCTTGATGCAAATTAGGCATGAACCATCTGCCTCCCGATCTTGGGCCTGGCTTGGCACACACTGCCACTTCTAATACCCGGGTGTTCCAAAATGCCATGGACTTCAAAGTCCTTGCTTCAAAGTCCAAGTGGCAAACCCAGCCGAGACAACAGGAGGCATGGCGAAAGTCGCGGAAGGCAAACAGCCCCCTTGAGCTCGATTGAGGTGGCCAATGCATCGCATTCCTCCAAATCCCATCAGCACCAGCCAGCATGGCCAATGGGAAGGGATATTGGGAGGTGCAGTCCAAACATCTGGAGGGCACAAGAATTGTAGAATTTTAGAGTCATCTAGTCCAGCCACCCTGTAACGCAGTAACCTTTTTGCCCAACATGGGGTTCAAACCCACAAGCCTGAGATTAAGAGTCTCATAGTTGTGGGGAAGGCTGACCTAGATGGACCAATTGTCTGACTTGGTCTAAGGCAGCTTCCTTCATAACTTCCACAATGGCTGCATTCCTTCCTCTGAATCAAATCCAGGAAAGCAATGCACAGTACAGCATCTTAGCACAGTACGACCCGATATTACGTGGGGGTGTGTGTTTCAGTTCCAAGGGTTCTATATATACACAAAAACACGCATACTCAAAGGCCTAGTAACCCAAACCCCATGCAAACATCTGGGGGCTTTCAGAACTGGTACACCGGCTCCAGAAATCCTAGGATGCTCTTGCGAAATCGCACTGGGCTGCCCACACCCATGCAAAATTTTGAGGAGCATCCCAAACCCAGCAAGAGGTGAGAGAGCAAAGCCATCTCCATGCACTGGCTGGTTGTGGGATTTCAAGCAGCCTTTAACTGCGCAAGTGGAATAAGCGTAAGACCTCATGGTACTGTATGTCCTACTTAAATCTTCTTTGCATCACCAATGGGCACATAGAAATGCTTGTTTCCCAAACAAGAGACTGCTATGGCCATTCAGATCCAGACATTTGTAAGCGGGCAGGGATGGAGTCTAAGAAAGGCTTTCTATGCAAAGTACTTTTGTCCTGACACAAAAGCTAAACATCAGTTTGACACATTTCTATCCATCAAACCACCACCCTCAGAAGTGGAATTTTTCCTCATCTGGAAAAGGTTTAAGCAGACCTCCCTCCTTCTCATGCTCTCTTTAGGTATATACCTTTTTTCAGATGAGCCATTCTCTGATTCTTTATTTAAAAAACTGAAATAACGAAGTGTGTGTGTGTGAATACAGCAAATGGAAACGCAGGGTTGATGGTGGGCTGGTGTCCCGGGGTCCGGCTGAAGGCTGTGTTGCTCCATCTCCGCAAATGCAAATAGCAGGTTGCTCTGTACATTTTATAGATTTGCATAACACATTTCTAGCTTGGTAATGCAAATTTTCTCACTGCAAACCTTTCAGCTTTTTTGTGTTCCCTCTCTCTCTGAAGGGCTGTAATGTGGTGTATGGAGCAAGTTTGTTTTCTGCTACTCCAGAGTGCAGGACCCAAAACAACGAATTCAAATGGAAAGATAGGAGATTCCAACTCAACCTTAGGAAGAGCTTTCTGATGGCAAGAGCTGTTCCAACAGCGGAATGGACTCTCTCAGGATTCCTTAGTTGCAATTCCTGCATTGCTGGGGTTGGACTAGATGACCCTTGGGCCCTTTTCCAACTCTTGTGATTTCCAATTCTATGATTTTACATCTAATTAGAGAGGAGGGGGGATGAGAAAAGAATCGGAACAGTCTCAGGCCAGGTTCCTGAAAAGTTCAAAGCTGTCGGCAGCCGAACCAGGAACGGCCAACGCTGTATTCTCAAGAGCCGAATCGACACAAATGCCCAGTGTTCCAGGGCAGCAGGATTCAACCGCCAGAAATTCTTTGAAATTATGGGTGTTTCTCTGAAGTTCTCTCCCTTCAGTTTGTTTTGGGAGGGTTTTGATTTTCTGCCTTTTTTTTTTTAAAGGTATTCTTCCGCCATCTCTGACTCTCCAACCAGGGGCCCCCCTCCCCCCCTCCTGAGACCCGAGCTTTCTCCAAAAAAGCAAATTGCTGAGTTTGGATTTGGCACCTCCAGGAAGAGGAGGCACCTTTGATGAATACCAAGCGGGCAGACTTCAATCGCTTCAATGAGAGCCGTGCGTTTAATAAGTTATTTCCGTGGAAAAACCTTGGTCACAGAGTTTGGAGGGAAGGCTTATAAACGCCTCCCCCTCATCAAAGCGGCAGAGGGATGGGGCGGAATGGGGGGGGGAGAGTTACTGTAACTCTAAATAACTTCTCTCCACAGGTCTCCAGAAGAACTCAAGAGTTTCTCCTATATTACTGACCTGGTTCTTAAGCACGATAAAAGAAAACAAACTTGGACCAGCAAACGCGTATATACCCCTAGGACAAGGGTGGAGGGACCTCAGATGCAGGAACTGAATGTGGCCCCCATGCCTTTCTATCTGGCCCTTGGAACTTTTGTCATGACACCCCCTCACTGTGACCCCACTTTTCACCCTGAGTGTTTTATCCTAGCAGGATATACAGTGGTACCTCGGGTTACATACACTTCAGGTTACACACTCCGCTAACCCAGAAATTGTGCTTCAGGTTAAGAACTTTGCTTCAAGATAAGAACAGAAATTGTGCTTCGGCGGCGCAGCAGCAACAGGAGGCCTCATTAGCTAAAGTGGTGCTTCAGGTTAAGAACAGACCTCCAGAACGAATTAAGTACTTAACCCGAGGTACCACTGTACATCCTTCAGCTCCCATATTGCCTCTTGGTTGTCCGGATGGAGAAGAGAGGTGTGACGGTGTGTACAATCACAGAAGTAGAATAACAGAAACACAGAGTTGTAGAATTGGAAGGGACCTCAAAGCTCATCAAGTTCAACCCCTTGTGATGAAGGACTCTTTCACCCAACATGGGGCTCGAACCCACAACTCTGAGATTGGAAGTCTCTGGTTCTATCGTCTGCTCCAAGCACTTTAGCCTCTGGCTCCACTCACTACTAGCTTGCATGTGGCCCTTGGAAGGCTGGCCAGAAATGAACGTTCCCCAGCCCTGCTCTGTGCCTTTACTTGCCTAAAAGCATGGGGTAGGGAGTTGGCCTGGGAGGGCACCTTTTATTCTATTAGGGTTTTTTGAGTGTGTTTTTTAGTATTTCTCATAGTCTGCTCAGGCTTCTAGTCCTCAAGGACGTGGGATCCATGATTAATGAAGCACCTTTTAACACACTATCTTGGCAAAGGGCCTCTCCTAGCCCTCCTGTGCGGTGATCTTGCCAGCTAGCGTGGATTTGACTGCTGATTGGCTTATGATGAGGTTTTAAGATACAGTTCACTGGCTTTGGGATTGCGGGGTCAGTGGAAGCTGCGCTATCCTGAATCAGCTGAGCCCATTGGTTATCAGCTCTGTCGAGTTTCAGACAAGGGGTAATTCCCAGATCTACCTGAAGGTGGCAGAGGTCCTTCTGCATGCAAAACAGATGCTGGAGCCATGAGCTGCAGCCCTTACTGCTTGGAGAGCCTTCAGACAAAAAAATCAGTGTAGAAACAGACTGTTGCCATCATCACCATCATTCTCCCCCACCCCAAAAAGCAAACCAATGTGGTTCCAGGCAAATTCATCTTCCCAACTGACCACTTTTATAAACCACCTCTCTGACAGGAGATTGGTCCACTTCATAAGCAAAAGCATGTTTCACTATTGTGGGTGGTGGCAGCCCCTCCCCTGCTGGTCCAATTCACCAATGCACTCCCCCCAGCCCCCAAATCTGGTGCCCTCCGGATGGGCCTGATCCAGCAGGGCTCTTGTAAGGTTCTTAGGGTACGTTTCAAAGCCCCCTGCCCCATCAGTGGAGCTTGGAGCACAAGAACAACATCTAAGAGAGGGTCCAGTAGTGGCTCTACCTCCTAGGTCTACCTTCCCCAACCTGGTGCCTGGAGGACACACAGCCAAGAGAAGGCTATTCGAGGGCAAGTCACATTTAGCTTTTTGCTCTAGACCAGCTCTTCATTGTTGATGGGACGGCAGCTCCGGACACTGAAATCCAGCGCCGAGGGCCTTCTGGCTGTTCCCTCACTGCGAGAAGTGAGGTTACGGGGAACCAGACAGAGGGCCTTCTCAGTAGTGGCGCCCGCCCTGTGGAACGCCCTCCCTTCAGATGTGAAGGAAGTAAGCAGCTATCTTATCTTTAAAAGACATCTGAAGGCAGCCCTGTTTAGGGAAGTTTTTAATATTTAATGCTGTTTTGTTTTTAACACTCGGTTGGGAGCCGCCCAGAGTGGCTGGGGAAACTCAGCCAGATGGGCGGGGTATAAATAATAAATTATTGTTGTTGTTGTTACTATTATCATCATCATCATCATCATCATCTTGAGTGTCCCATGGACTGCAAGAAGATCAAACCTATCCATTCTGAAGGAAATCAGCCCTGAGTGCTTACTGGAAGGACAGATCGTGAAGCTGAGGCTCCAATATTTTGTAAAAGGCGAAAGATTTATACGATCTGAGGTGAAACCAATATTTTGGCCACCTCATGAGAAGAGAAGACTCCCTGGAAAAGACCCTGATGTTGGGAAAGATGGAAGGCACAAGGAGAAGGGGACGACAGAGGACGAGATGGTTGGATAGTGTTCTCGAAGCTACCAGCATGAGTTTGACCAAACTGCGGGAAGCAGTGGAAGACAGGAGTGCCTGGCGTGCTCTGGTCCATGGGGTCACGAAGAGTCAGACACGACTAAACGATAACAACATTATCATCATCATCATCATCATCATCATCAATCCCACACAGCATGGCCAATGCTCTGGGTTGATGGGAGCTGCCGTCCTCCAACATCTTGAAGGCCTCAGGTAAGCCCACCTGTGGCCCAGGCAATCTTTTGTTGTTCTTGCTTGAGAAGTGTGCAAACATCGTCTGATCATGGAGGAGAGGTGGACTATTGACTACTTGCCGCGATGGCTATGCTCTGCTTCCACAATCAGAGGCAACAATGCTTCCGAATACCAGTTGCTGGAACCGCAGGAGGGGAGAGCGCTCTAGTGCTTGGGTCCTGATTGCAGGTTTCCTACAGGTATCTGGTTGGCCACTGTGAGAACAGGATGCTGGACTAGATGGGCCACTGGCCTGGTCCATCAGGAACATCTTATATTCTTCTGGCTCCACACTTTTCAGGATTCTGGGAAAGCTTACACCACAATAACAGATTTTTGTTTTTGTTTTGAACCGCAAGAATAAAAACAGCAACCCTCTTGGAAATTAACACTTTTCCCCACTGCCTTGGTTGAATTTTTTTCTCATCAGAGAGAAAAGACTTTGGAGGCCTGAGAAGTCACTTTTGCCCGGAGCTCCAAAGAGGGTTAAACGTTTTGTGAAAACAAAGGGAAGGAATGTATTCTTGGAGGGAAGGGGAAGGAGATTCTCCCCCTCCTTTATTATTATTTTTTATAAAGCAACAAAATTGCTCAGTCATGCTGTCGCTCTGCGATTTTCATCCAAAAAGGTTTATGGAATCGTTTGGGCCATATGGGGAAAGCGCCCACAAGGGGCAAAGAATTTTTACTTTTTTTGGAAGCGTACTGGAAAAGAAATGCCCTTTTATTTCCCATCGGCAAAATAGGTCCATAGAGGGAAAAATGTTTAATATAAAAACATCTGAACGAAGTATCCCCAGCTACTTTCTTTGCTTACTCTTCCCTCTTCCCCCAGCACCATGCCTTTTTTTTTTTTTTTTTGGCGCTTCTAAGTACTACTTTTTGGCAACGGACACGTTACCTTGTCAAGAAGACTTTTTAGCCTGATTGTAAAAGGGTATGCAGAGATAGAAAGGCCAAATAACATGAAATGAAGGGGAAGCCCAAGGAGGGAAATATACACCCTTTAAATAAGCATAGGGCAGAGATGCAACCGCTTGTAACAAAGAGGCCTCCTTCCTCCTCTCATAAAGGCCCTTTCATATTGTGTCATCATTAGGGGACTTCTCCTTTTGAGACAGGGGCTTCTACATGATTGATTGATTTAACTTATTTATTAAATTTGTCAGTTCTGCTTTGCCACCCAAAGCGACTCACATTACAACCAAACATCAACGGACAATAAACCCCACAGAGATACATTAAAACCAAGAGGAAAGAGAAGTACTTTAAAAGCATCCCATCCATTGGAACATCTATGAAACGAGCTCTCTCCCTCTTATGAGGCTGGTACAGCTGTTATTCAACCTTCAACACTAGTTAAAGACATACAGTGGTACCTCTGGTTACAGACAGGATCTGTTTTGGAGGCCCGGACGTATCCTAAAAAGTTCGTAACCGGAGGTGCCCTTCTGCGCATGCGCGCACGGTGAAACCCAGAAGTATACACTTCCAGGTTTGCCATGTTCGCAACCCGAAGTTTAAATATCCAAAGGGATACATAAGCAGAGGTACGACTGTATTTATTTATCTGACCAGGCTTTCGGAAGGGGTCGACAGGAGGGGGCCTGCTGCACATGGATTAACACAAGAACAGCCCTGCTGGATCACACCAACAGCCCATCTAGTCCAGCATCCTGATCTCCCAGTAGCCAACCAGATGCCTGTGGGGAACCTTCAGGCAGCATCTAAGAATAAGAGTCCTACCCCCTCCTGTGGTTTCCAGCAACTGGGTTGGTGGTCATTCTGCTGCAGCGCTGTGCTCTGGTTTTGTACAGCTCCTGTTTCAATCATTTTCATATTCGTGCTATTGCTGTGAGCTGCCTGAACCAATAGAGCAGTGGTTCTTAACCAGTGGGTCCCCAGTTGTTGTTGGACTACAACTCCCATCATCCCTGAGTTCTGGCCTTGCTAGCTAGGGGTGATGGGAGTTGTAGTTCAACATCTGGGGACCCACAGGTTGAGAAAGGCTGCAATAGAGGACAGGCCAGAAATCTAAATAAAAGGGCATGTTCTTTGGAATGGAACCTCGGGCCCGGGGTCTGAATGTGGCCCTCAATGCCATTCCATCTGGCCCTCAGAACTCTTTGGGGGCCACACACCCTCCCCAGCCTTGTATGACACCATCCTTGATTGCTTTTTCCCGGGCTTGAATGTGTCCTGCAGGAGAAAATTTACATCCATAGCCCCACCCACTTTGCCACTCCCCCCACCCACTGGCATGTGATTTCTCCCCGCCTGAAGTATGCCCAGAAGAGAATGCATCTCTCAGGCTGGAAAAGGTTCCTCTCTCCCTCAATCTGGTTTGGATGCACATGACCTTGCTGAACTCAAACCAGTGCTTGGATGAAGGACCTGCTAGCACCTGCCCCGCCTGAAAGCCAGTAGTTGGGAGTGTCAAGACTAGGACACAGAGGATCGGGGTTCAAATCCCCACCATGCCAGGAAGCTCACTGGGCGTGACCCCCAAGGTCACTGCCTCTCAACCTAATCTACCTCGTTGGGTTGTTGCAGGGATTAAATGAGGAGGGAGGGGAGCTCCTGGGAGAAAAGGTGGAATTATAAATGCAACCAACAACTAATAATAACAATAATTTATTATTTATACCCCGCTCATCTGGCTGGGTTTCCCCAGCCACTCTGGGCGGCTTCCAACAAAGTATTAAAACACAGTAGTCTGTTAAACATTAAAAGCTTCCCTAAACAGGGCTGCCTTCAGATGTCTTCTAAAAGTCCGGTAGTTGTTCTTCTCTTTGACATCTGGCGGGAGGGCGTTCCACAGGGCGGGTGCCACTACCGAGAAGGCCCTCTGCCTGGTTCCCTGTAACGTGGCTTCTCGCAGTGAGGGAACCACCAGAAGGCCCTCGGCACTAGACCTCAGTGTCCGGGCAGAACGATGGGGGTGGAGACGCTCCAACTAAATAAATAAATTCATTGGATTTCATGATGCCTTTTTCCTTGCTTCATGAATGCCTAAGGGGCTATCATTGAGGCTACTAGCCACGATGGCTATTGCTCTGCCTCCAACAGTCAGAGGCAGAAATGTTTATGAATACCAGTTGCTGGAAAACACAGGAGGGGAGAGGGGTCTTGGGCTCAGATTCTGCCTGTGGGCTTCCTTTTCGGGCTTCTGGTCAGCCACTGTGAGAACAGGATGCTGGACTAGATGGGCCACTAGCCTGATCCCACAGGGCTTGTATCCCAAGTTCTTAAAGGGGCATACATGGGGCCACACCAGGCCAGTCACTCCTGCCAGAGGCTGAACTCCACTGACGTTGCTCAAGTATGGCATGCTCAGGGTTAACTTCAGCTTGTCTCTTATCCTATATATATGTAATCCTCCCCACTGGGGAAAAGATAAATAGCCCACATTACACTCTTATGAAGAGTTGCGCCACTTGAAATTCCACAGTAGGAGATGGGAATATCCAGTTACACTACAATCTTGGTCACAAAGTGATCGTTATTTTGTTCCCAAAGAAAAGTTTAAACCCGCTTTCTTCTCCCGTCAACAACGCAGGGCTCAGATACCACAGAATCTAATCCGCCACCTTCCCCCTGGAAGCTCACAGCTATTGTGTGTTTTCATCTGCGGTTTATTTAAAGAGCGGGCTGTATGTGGAAATGGATCATTCCAAGACATTATTTTAGAACTGAAAGCTCCGAAGTTTTCATGCTGAAAATTCATATGCGAGCCTTTGGCCCGGTGGTCAGAAGCTATATTTACTGAAGTTCCACATCTGAGTCACAAGCCAATATAGGCCAAGCCCCAATCCAAATGCCAGCTCTCCTTCCTGGGTTGTGGGGCTGGAGAAATATCTCAAATTCCTGCATGTCAGAATCAAATTCGTCCATGATCTCCCAACACTTCCTCCCCACTCTCGGATTTAGCACCAAGAGGACAAAGAGGGCAGAGGAAAACCCTGGATTTCCTGGGTTGTTTCCTGACAGAATCATAGAATAGGAAAGGACCCAAGGGTCACCTAGTCCAACCCCCTGCAGTGCAGGAATCACAGCTAAAGAATCCCTAGCAGATGACTATTCAACCTCTACTTTAAAACTTCCAATGGAGGAGCGTCCACCATTTTCTCACGGAATCCGTTCCACTGTCAAACAGCTCTTACCCTCAGAAAGTTCTTCCAAGGTTTATTCAGAATCTCCTTTGTGGTCATTTGAATCCCTCTGTAGCAGCAGAAAACAAGCTTGCTCCATCTTCTACATGACAGTCCTTTAGGGTATTTGAAGATGGCTGTCGTATCCTATACTGCTGAATCATGAGGGAACCGCGCAAGTGAAACCTTAGTCGGTTCCATCTTCAGGTTTTTTCCGTGTCCAGAATAGGCCTCAAACTCTGCCAGCAGCAAGGTGGGTGTGGTAGGGCAGAGGCACTTTCCTGACGCTGGCAATGCGGCTCCAGACTTAGATGGTGCCAAGGAGGTCAGTACTGCGGTGTCTCAGTGCCACCCTGCCTAGCCCAGGTAAGTAATGGTGACACTGGTGGTCAGGAAGACAGCTCTACCCCACAGCATGGATGGCTGAGACCTTTTGCTCTAACATAGTGATGCCCAAATTGGGTGGCACCCCCCCCCCCGAGGCAGGGATTACCTAGCAGGGCACTAAGAGGCAAGGAGGTGGCAGGGGGGCTCTGGATGTACAAATGACCATCAGACTTTGAAATAGCATTGGATCAAGTTATTAATTTTGCTGGCCTAGTTAAGCATACTAAATAGTTAATTGGACTTCGAATAAATGTGCAATTATTTGTTACTGCTTTGCATTTCATTGTGTTGTTATCTTCCTTAGTGAATTGTGCAAACCACTATTCTGAAAGCTTTTTTTATAGGGTAGAGCAGGGAACCAAGGGGGTGGTGGCCCAAAAAAGTTTGGGAGCTGCTGATCTAATAGGGTAAAGGTAAAGGGACGCCTGACCATTAGGTCCAGTCGTGGCCAACTCTGGGGTTGCGGCGCTCATCTCGCTTTACTGGCCAAGGGAGCCGGCGTACAGCTTCCGGGTCATGTGGCCAGCATGACTAAGCCGCTTCTGGCGAACCAGAGCAGCGCACGGAAACGCCGTTTACCTTCCTGCCGGAGCGGTACCTATTTATCTACTTGCACTTTGACGTGCTTTCGAACTGCTAGGTTGGCAGGAGCAGGGACCGAGCAACGGGAGCTCACCCCATCGTGGGGATTCAAACTGCCGACCTTCTGATCGGCAAGTCCTAGGCTCTGTGGTTTAACCCACAGCGCCACCCACGTCCCTTGATCTAGCAGGTTACAAAGCGGCAATTGGAAGTCTCAAGTCTAGCCAAATTTGCTTCAAGAGCAACAAGATGTCAGTTACTCAACCACAGCTCTGAGGGGACACAGCTGAAACAGCCACAACAACACCAGCAGCATTTGAGGAGAGGACATTTGCCACCTTCATGCCCAACTCTGCAAAGCATCTTCAAGTCACTACTGTCCCGGGTCAAGGTTCCTTGCATGTTTCAAAAGGAAGATGGAGAAGAAGTCAAAATTTTCAACCCCAGCTATGGGGTTCATTGAATTGTGTTAATTGCTTTGAGCAATTTGACGCCGTCGTTTGCTTTACTTACATGCTACTGTGTTTAATATCATAGTGATTGCCCTGCTTGTTGCTCTTTTAATGCCACCGTGGTTGTTGCAAGCTCAACACTTGTTGTTGGAAAAGCAGAACACAAACATTAAATCAAACCAAACCAAAATTAAACCAGTTGAGTATTCGACAACAACAAGCCACAGTAGCCAGGAGAAGGTCCGTGGCCAGTGAGTAAAACCTGGCCATAAGGACTGCCATTTGTCAACTACTCGGATGTGATTATCATCTTTTTTCTGCTTGCCTTGAGAGAAAGCAGGATGTGCGCATTTCTGAATAAACAAATCTTCAGAAGAAAATGATGGGAGTCTTCCAAAAAGCCCACTATTGTCAATCTGGTCTGATTACAACCATGCCACCATGGCCATCCTATTTTCCTTTGCTTCTTTCGAAACAGGTCTCTAAATCATGCTCCCTCAGCTTGGTGCCCTCCATATACTTTGGTCTGCAGCTGCCATGAGTCCCACCCAGCACAGACAACTGTCAGGGGTACAAGGAGTTGTAGCCTAAAACATCTGCAGGGCATCGGGCTGGAAGAAGGCAAACTCCCACCCTACCACATTAGGAAGGCAACCAAGAAATACTATACTTCCTGGTCTCAGCAAACTTGTTTATGGCTTGCTGTTGGCTCAAAAAACTATGGGAAATTGAAAGAGTGGGCAATGTATGAAGCACATTTTCAAAAGCAGTAGCCAGGACTAATTAAAACGTGAAACTTGGAGTTCCACAACAAATAGCAAGAGGAGTATGAGAACTTGATTATCCAAGTTTCCCTTGGGCAAACCAAGTCCTGCAAAACAGGAGAGATCATTTGCAATGGGAACAACCGGTTGCCCGATGGAGCAGACAGACTGTCCCAGCGACCGCACGTTCTCTTTCTTCTTTTCCCCAAGCCAGCAATATGGTGCAAGAGAAACTTCCAACTGACACCAAATTAGGAAAATATAACAGCAATTCACATGGCAGGGACATTTTTTTTGTTACAGCAACACAGAACTCCATCGTGCTCCATGGAAAACTAGATCATTTCCACTTTAAAATTCGAGCCAAGATTAGTTCCCAATATTTATGACAATTTGTTTGAAGAAACAGATAATCAGATAAATGGAAACATACAAACAAAGCTCCATTTGCAGAGATACTTAGAGGGCATGCACTGATTATGAAACAAAACTGGGTAGATAAAGGATTCTCAACTCTAGATTAACTGCCCCACCCCCAGTAAATACCCATATTAGCAACTCTGTGGCCTTCCAGGTGTGATTAGAACCAGCTGCACAAATATAAGATGGGGGACACCTGGATTGCCAATAGTACTTATGAAAAGGATCTAGGGATCTTAGTGGACCACAACCGTAACATGTGCCAGCAGTGTGATGCAGCAGCGGAAAAAGCTAATGCTATTCTGGGTTGCATCAACAGATGCATAGTGTCCAGATCAAGGAAAGTCGTAGTCCTGGCTCTGGTCTGCCTTGGTCAGACTTCACTTGGAGTACTGAGTCCAGTTCTGGGCACTACAATTTTAAAAGGATATGGACAATCTGGAACGTGTGCAGAGGTGGGTGACCAAGATGATCAAGGGTCTGGAAACTAAGCCTTATGAGGAACCACTGAGGGTGTTGGGCATGTTTAGCCTGAAAATGAGTAGACTGAGGGAGGTAACGATAGCAGTCTTCAAATATCTAAAGGGCTGTCACATGGAGAATGGAGCAAGCTTGTTTTCTCCTGCTCCGAAGGCTAGGACCCAAACCAAGGTCTTCAAGTTACAGTAAAGGAGATTCTCTAAACATCAGGAAAAACTTTCTGATGCTAAGAACTGTTCGACAGTGGAACAGACTCTCTTGTAAGGCAGTGGAAGGAGGAAGACCTCCTTGGAGGTTTTTAAGCAGAGCTGGACAACCATCTGCCATGTATGATCTAATTGAGATTTCTGTACTGCAGAGGGTCAGACTAGATGAACCTTGGGATCCCTTCCAACTCTACAATTCTGTGATTCTATAGGATGGCCAATGGTCAGAAATAATGTAAATGGCCCAGCAACAGCTGGAAGGCCACAGGTTCACGGACACTGGCCTACACTGCAAGAGTAAACTGCTTTTAAACCATTTTAAGTGCCACAACATTCCATAGGGAGCCCTGGGGCCAGAGGTTTAGTGATGGAGTTCAAACCCATATTAAGAGATCCTGACCCCCCCCCAATAACTGCAATTCATGGAGCCTCCTACACTACTTTTAGGTGTGTACCACACCTATGCCTTAATTTTCTCTTTCTATTCCATGGCAAGCAAAACCATTACCACATATCTTGGATAAAATTCTGAGGCTACGAAGCCCTGGGAAAGGTCCCTTTGATATACACAACCATCACCCCTTCATTTCCCATATTCAAATGAGCATTTCAACTTCCTGGATTATATTTCCCAAGAGAGAGTTTCTAACACTGAGTCTGACAAAGTTGCCCCAAAGAGTCCCTTGATTTCAACGCACTGAAAAATCTGCTAACCTGAAAATTCTCCAGGGGTGACATTGGGCGAGTTTGTAGCCTCTGTTTCAGTGTACGACAAGGTGGAATCTGAAAGATCTAGAAGCAAAAGTAAGAGAAAAGACAAGGGTTATTTCCTAGAAGACAGGCATCTTATTTGCAAAGACTCTGAAACCTAAGTTGCCGCTCACTCAAAACACAAAATACGCTGGCACACAAAAAAGCTTTCATTTCAAAACCAAATCCTTATCGTTCTTTAAAGTCCTGCCATGCCCTTTCTAGGGGTCAATGTACATGTTGCCCTCTTTGTGAAGCCACACAAGCAAGCAAATCCCACTACTGGTTACACAACCCACCTGGAGCAAAAATGGAGAAGGTTCCTCACGCAGGCCGGGGCTGGAAGGTGGAGACGGATGCGCTATTTGCTCCAGAGAAATCAGTCCCCAAGCGGGAAGGGTGACAGAGAGGTTAAGGGACAAGTGGAAAATGGTAACAGCAACTGGGAAGCATGGAGTTAGGGGGTTGTTCTTGGGAGCACTCGATAGGATGGCTTGCTGGATCAAGGAAGTTGGCTCAATTCTCCCAGAAGACAACACAGGTGAAAGCATAGCTGTCAACTTACAGATTTGAAAATAAGGGACCAGCAGCCTCAAACATAAGGGATCAGCAGCCAAAATAAGGGATTTTCCCACCACAGGTATGTTCAGCTTCTGAGCCCCTCCGAGCCAAAGGCAGAAAGCCCAGCCAGCAGCCAAACGAAGCCTCAAGCGGTGGTTCCCACAGCGCATCAACCCGGCAAAAGGGATGCAGCAAGGAAAACCACCGTCACCTCTCCGCTGGGAAGCGCTGAGCAAAAGCGAGTCCCCAGGCAATGCAGCCGATTTGATTGGCACAAGGCATGCAAACTCCACCCCCTAGTCATTCTTAGACTCCTTATTGGGTGAGCAACACAGCCAAGCAACACAGTTGGAGCCTCCCTCCTCCCTGGCCAGCAAGGAGGGAGGGAGAGGAGCTGCTTCCTTTGAAACCCAGGAAATTAAGGGACATCATCAATAAGGGACAGCAGCAGGACACGGCACTGGGATAAGGGAGTTTCCCACCAAATAAGGGACGGTTGGCAGCTATGCGTGAAAGGCAGACTGGTTAAGTACGCTGGAACGGGATATGGCAGGAATTGGGAAACTTAAGGGCAAATGAGGCCCCGCAGGCCTCTCTCATTGGTCCTCAGAACTCACCCCCTCTCCCAGGCCACGCCCCTCAGCAGCACAGCTCCACAACCCATTCCTTTGCCCTTGAACTGAGATGATGGAGAAGTACAGAGAGCCTGCTTAGCCAGAAGCCCTAATGGGAAACACACAAGCAGGACCTGAGCACAAGGACCCCTCCTGTGGTTTCCAGCAACCATAGGAGCCACCTCCTAGGCTCCAAGGTCCCTTCAGCCCTCCCCATAAAATATTTGAGGGGGCTGCCCCCCCCGGTTGATGGGTATCACCATTCAAATGGGGGGAGTGTGCCGCGTCTTGTGATCAATTATGCGGGGCAGGGCTTACCAATGGCACCCCCCCCAATAGTTTATTCATGTTGCCACCCCTGCCAGCATTTGGAAGCATTAATGTAAAGGCAGAAAACAGTCATCATAGCTAGTAGCTACTGATAGCCTTCCCCTCCATGAATATGTCCAATCCCCTTTTCAAGCCATTAAGGTTGGTTTGCCTTCACAGCCTCCTGTGGAAGAGTTCCATAGGTTAACTATGTGCTGTGGTTGGCCCCTGTGACAACAGGATGCTGTACTAGATGGGCCATTGGCCTGATCCAGGAGACCTTTTCTTATGTTCATATATTCTCCATGAATTTGTCTAAAAGGCACTCACGTTGGTGACCCTCACTACCATAGACCTTTTCATCAACTAAAAAAAGAAATCTGGCTGTGCCAGAGGTTGAACCTGTGGGATCTTCTGCTTGCAAGGCCTCTTGAGATATGGTGGCCCCTCACCGAACTTCACACTAGCCCCATTTCCCTTTGTTTCATGTCCTTGCAGATCCAAGCGCCATTCACTGCTCCCCTTCCCTTTCCTGAAACACCGAAACTGCCCTCAAAAATAACCCAAGGTTGAGTGGATCAAATCAAACAAGTAGGAACTTGGGAGCGCCGCGGATAAGGTTACACTAAGCCTCCAAACAATTCATCGTTACTATACTTAATTATCACTATTAAAATTCTTGAAGCTGTTTATTCTTGTTTCCTTCCTCCCTTCCTTCCTCCCCTGCTGAAACCAAGGAAACTTTGTTTTAACAAGTTAAAAGTCTTTGTTGATCTTTCTCCCTCTCTCCTCCACCCACCCCCACTTTGCTTGCACCCCTTTAATTAAAAAGGTGCTCTAAATGTTTGCTCCAAGATCAACTCCGTGTGTGTGTGTCTCCCTCCCCCATCCCTTCTCTTTTCAGTCAAACCAGCCTGAAAAGCAAAGCTTCACTTCGCGTTGTGTCACTCAAAGTTCTCCGTCTAGGGAATGCAACTCAACTGGGTGCACTGTGTAGGTGCTCTGAACTATAACTCCCATCAGCCGCAGTCAGCACCTAGAGGGCACCAGGTTGGGGAAAGTATGAAGAAATTATGACACCTCCAGCGCAGGAATATGCAAGTGGCCCATATGGGGATAGAACCCACAACCTTGGCATTATCAGCACCACGCTCTAAACAACTGAGCTAGTTCTCCTCCATCTCATTTAATCCTCACAACAACCCTGTGAGGTGGGTTAGGCTGAGAGGCAGTGACTGGTCCAAGGTCTCTCAATGAGCTTCATGGCCAAGTGGGGATTTGAACTCTGGTCTGCCAGATCCTAGCCCAGTACTCTAACCACCACACCACACTGGCTCTCATACTTCCTTTGAGCAATTGATGTGCACTGTTATACAGTGGTACCTCGGGTTACATAAGCTTCAGGTTACATACGCTTCAGGTTACAGACTCCGTTAACCCAGAATAGTGCTTCAGGTTAAGAACTTTGCTTCAGGATGAGAACAAAAATCGTTCTCTGGCGGCGCAGCGGTAGCGGGAGGCCCCATTAGCTAAAGTGGGGCTTCAGGCTTCAGGTTAAGAACAGTTTCAGGTTAAGTACGGACCTCCGGAACGAATTAAGTACTTAACCCGAGGTACCACTGTAGTTCTATTGCTTTTGTTACTGCATTCCATAATATGTACTATGCAACAAATCTTTAAAATAAGCAGTTAATTATTATTTTTTTTAAGTCTATATTGCTCAAATATACATTTTCCTTGTTATGTTCTTAGGAGGGTTCTCGGGAAGAGCCCTGAACTTTAAAATGTACCACTATACCACTACATTTGGTGACTGCTTATTTGCAAGGGGTGTGGGATGGGCTGCACACGATCCGAATTCATGATTCTTGACTTTGCATTCCCACCTAACTGACCAGCCTCCCATCCCCAAAAAGCCAGAGGCAGAATCGGGCACTCCATCCACTGAGGTCTGTGCTTAAATTCCTCAGAGGCAATATATACTTTGGAAGGCCACTCCTTTTGGATTTCACCAGCTTTTAAAGTAGGTCAATTTTTCCCCCCAGTTCCCAGCTTCTTTGACCATTTTTCCTTTGCTTGATTTAGGGGAAGAGGGAAGAAGGAGAGAAATTAAATCCAAAGCATCTCACATTGCTGTGTTTAAGGGAAGCTTGTCACCTTTGCTGTGGCCAGATTCTTTTAACAGATTCAGTTTTCCCTTAGTCGGCAGAGCACGAGACTCTATCAATCTCAGAGTCGTGGGTTTGAGCTCTATGTTGGGCAAAAGATTCCTGCATTGCTGGGGGTTGGTCTAGATGACCCTCAGGGTCCCTTCCAACTCTACAGTTCTATGATTCCCCTACTGCTGCACTGATCTGTGGGTGGCAGACAGACAAAAGGCAACCCGCCTGCAACTGTCGGACTTTCTGCCTACTGTACAGGTGCCAATAGCTCAAGTGCCCTATCAGTGAAAAAGGTGGTAACCAAAGATAAGGAGAGCTTTTGGGGGGAAGGACATTAGCTCAGTGGCAGAACATCTGCTTCGCATGCAGAAGGTCCCACACAGTTTCTATCTCCAGAATCTCAAAGCTGGGCTAAGAATGCTCTTTGTCTGAAACCCCGAAGAGTCTCTGTCCCTGTACATCCCCAAGAACGTTCCTGGGATCTTCTAGGGAAGCACTTTAAGTGGTCCTCCATGGCCCAGAAGCACAACTCATGCCAACAAGTCATCGTGCCTTCAGGGTGCAACCCTGTGGAACTTCCTCCAACCAGAAGTCAGACAGGCACAGTCCCTGCTGAGGTTTCAAAAGCCTGGTTAGAACAATTTCATTTCAGGAGGCCTTTGCACTACAAACGCTTCCCCTTTGTTCCAAAACATTCTGACGCTCTTTTTTGTTTCTGAGATTTTAAATTTGGGGAGTTTCGTCTGTATTTGGGATATTGTCAATCGTCTTTTTGTTGTTGTTGCAAGCCGCACTTTGTGAGGCCTAAATGGCAGAAAGCAGGATTTAAAAGAAATGAATGAGATGGGCTTGGCCTGCAGCAGCTTTTGAACGTTTCGCGCGAAATCACAGCAAGACACATGTGCAGAAAAAAAGAGAGATACTTACCCAGTGGCTTTTGCTCGTCATTTGGAGACAGCCGGGAGTAAGGAGGGGGTGGAGATTCTGAAAAGCAAGGAAGACACTGATTAACAACCCCTGGAAGTTTAGGTTACAGAAGCATTTGCCCCCACACCAAGGAAGGAACCATTTGGCTGAACTTATGGTGGAATCTCTCTCGCCTTGTTTTTATGGAGACACTGGGCACCATTACTCACTCTTAAAACCATAGGTAGGCAAACTAAGGCCAAGGGGCCGGATCCGGCCCAATTGCCTTTTAAATCCGGCCCACGGATGGTCCAGGAATCAGCGTGTTTTTGCATGAGTAGAATGTGTCCTTTTATTTAAAAAGCATCTCTGGGTTATTTGTGGGGTATAGGAATTTGTTCATTCCCCCCCCCCAATATAGTCCGGCCCCCCAGGGACAGTGGACCAGCCCCCTGCCGAAAAAGTTTGCTGACCCCTGCCTAAGACTAAGCATTCATAAACACATCACAAAGTATAGTTATTTAGCAACACATTACCCCTCAAGTTGCTGGGTGTATGCTATAAAATGGGGAGAAGTGCTTTCATGGACCACAATGAACTAGAATTGGGTCTTAAGGAGGCCACTGGCTGCAGTCCTTAATCCAATTTACTCTGCTGTAGACCCATCAAAGACAAGGAGGGTACTCTGGCCAGGTTCACTGGGAATATGATGCACTTTGTGGCTAGCAAACTCCTGCTCCTAAAAAGGAACAAAACGCCTGTTTGCTTGGGAATAGGCATCATTGCTTTTTCAAGTTCCAGAACTTCCTCATTAGGGCTGGTCGATATATCGTCCAAAACCCTGGTTTGAAGTTCACATCGTGATAATTGTTTCATAATATTTTAGCTAGCAATATATCATGAATCACAATGTGTGTAGGGGCTAGGTCAGGCATCCCCAGCCTTCAGCCCTCCAGTTGTTTTGGACTACAATTCCCATCATCCCTGACCACTGGTCCTGTTAGCTAGGGATCATGGGAGTTGTAGGCCAAAACATCTGGAGGGCCGCAAGGTTGGGGGTGCCTGGGCTAGGAGATAGCTGGTTTTCAACATTGCGATAACTCACCAGCTAAACACTGCAATGTTATCAGAAGCTAAACCTCACAACATCACCTGCTAAATGTTGCCATTTACCACAATGTCTGAAATAAGGATAGAACTATACAGAGGCGAACAGGACAATGTCCTGGCAACTGCTGCTACTTAGGGGTCTAAAACGGATAAATGACAATATTACCAATAATCAAACACTTGGTTTCATCAGCAGGCATGCCAAAATGAATCCCAACAGGACTTTGGGTTTTGGGCTTGGCTACCAAATGGTGGTATACAGGACAATCCAAAGTACGGCGAAGAGTTATAGTGAATACATATAATCTGGGGCTGCCAAACTGCCAGCAGGCCTACTAGGTGGCAGAAGCGGCAGTGGCAGAAACAGCTTGCCATGACCGCGGTGCATGTCAGCAGCAGCAGTGACAACAACCTGCAAGGCGTGGCGGCACAATCAGTGGCAGCCTGCAAGTCCTCATGGCTGTGACGGCAGCCTGCAAGTCCTCATGGCTGTGACGGGAGCTGGTGGCAGTAGCAGTAGTAGCCTGCAAGGCCTCATGGCGGCGGCACAAACAGTAGTAGCAGTTACCAGGATATTGTCCTGTTCACCTCTGCGTATTTCCTTTCGTATTTCAGATATCGTGATATATTGATATATTGTGATGTTTAGCTGGTGATATATCGCAATATTGAAAACCCATTATTGCCCAGCCCTATTCCTCATCAGTGTACAATGAGAACTGAGTGTTTACTTGAAATTTCAGGGCAAGTAACTCTCAACATTGGTGCTCCAAACATGACTGCAAGCTGAGGGAACCAAACTATGGCAGCACATCAACACTTCAAATTTTTAAAAGAAAAGTTTTCAACTACAGTGGTACCTCGAGTTACAGACGTTTCAGGTTACAGACTGTGCTAACCCAGAAATAGTACCTCGGGTTAAGAACTTTGCTTCAGAATAAGAACAGAAATCGCTCGGTGGCAGAACAGTGGCAGCAGGAGGCCCCATTAGCTAAAGTGGTACCTCAGGTTAAGAACAGTTCTTCAGGTTAAGAACGGACCTCCAGAACGAATTAAGCTCTTAACCCGAGGTACCACTGTAGTTTATTTCAATTTCAACTCATCCTACCAGCCCAAAGGAAACCTGGGAACTATAGTTTTCAGAGGTGCCTGAAAATACCCTGTTCCAAGATCCAAAGGGTGACAAATTATGGGGTTTCTCTAGGAGCCAAGAAAGTCATCTGTAGAGTTTTGACACTGCTGCGGAAAGAATCCAGAGCAACACTGTCACATTTTTTCAAAAGCTGCATTTTGGGGGTTCTCTTTCTTGAGAGGTGTTCAACAAAACCCTTCCATCCAAAACCCTCGACACAAAGTCAGTGCACATTTGTTACAAAGAACACGGTACTCCATGTTCCAGTGATATTCGAGAGAATATTCGAGAGAAAGAAATTCCATCACTCCCTGTAGGAAAGATCCAAAGTGAATGGGGATTGCAAAACAAAGAGAATTAAGGAAATTAAGGAAAGCTGACTTGCCAAAAAAAGGGGGGAGATTCCCCGCTCCCCTTGCAGCAACACAGAACAGAATTAAGAGAGAGAAAAGCGCACAGAGAGAGAGAGAGAGACTCCTGTCAACCAAAGAACAAGATCTAGGATCCTGTGTCCAAGTCAAGTTTCTTAGACAATTTAATTTCTACGTGAACTGAATTCTATAGTTAGGGCAACAGAAAATTCAGGTTCGTAGAGCTGGTTTTTCCTTCTCTTAATGAGTTTCAACAGGAAGGCAGGTTTTGCTGCTTTTTAAAAAAATGGAAAAAACCCAACTTGCAATAATAATAAAAAACCCCAGAAGTTAGGAAAAGGGGCACTGCAGCTTTAAGAGAGGCAGTCAGATAAATTGCCAGTCAGGCTGGCGCCAGCAAAATGCAAACTGCATATTATCACCACTTCTTCACCTAAATAGCAAGAGGGGGGAACCTGCTAAGGAAAAGAAGGGAGGGAGGGGGGAAGGAAGGGGGTGCTTTTTAAGAACAACTTGAAACTGATCTCCGTTGAAAGGGGATAATGCCAGGCCAAAAGAAAAAGAGACTTGTGTGTTTGTGCGTTTCTCTTTAACTCCCATTTTCTTTTGCCTGAAGAAAACCAGTGATTTTCTATACATCCCCTCCAAAAAGGTTAAGTCTCCTTCGGCATTGCCGAAAGGGCAGTAATTTTGTGGATACGGTTACTACCACCGAAAACAAAAAATGCAAAAACAGGCAAGGCAAAATTTGCCTTTCTAAAGAGAAGGAGCCTGCGATGAGAGTTAAGCACACTTCCTTGTGTGGTGGCTCTTACTCCTGTGCAAATTTACTTAGGGCTGTCTTGGGAAAACAAGTCCAAAGCCTGCTCAGCCTTTTCTTCCCACAGAGTTTTGCTTAATTTAACACGTGTTCGCTGAAGCCCCTTTGGGAATCGAACTCAAACAAAGTGGATCTATATTTTTTTTAAATGCCACCAAGCTGTTTGTTTGCTTTTGCTGGTCTTGATTTCTACATTTCCAGCGCCTGCTGTCAGAGCAGAGGAATGAGATAAGGGAGAATCTTGGATCTCCTTCTTCCCAAATGCTTTGGTGAATGCTAACTATTCCTGTGATGGAAGCAGAAATGGATGGTGGCGTTTGTGTGTGAATTTGGTCCAATGGCAACAGAAGAGGGGAAAGGATCCTGGATGTTAAAAACAACAACAACACTGATGGTAACTGTACTTCAAAACATCTGGGGGGGGGGGGGACACCAGGTTGTAAAAGGCGCCATCCTGCCAAACTTTGTCTAACACGGCCCTTTTCAAAAACACACAGTAAGAATGCGCAGAAGATGGTGTTTAGGGATGAAGGGAGAAATCTCATTTGCACTACTCTGTATTAAGTTACAGGGAGTACAAGGGCTGCTGCCTACTCTTACTTCACCCTCCTGGCATCCTATAGACCCCATGGCCACAGGGAGTGAAGGGGGCCAGCCAAGGGAAGCCAGCCTCTCTTCCCCCCAGCCTCTCTTCCCCACCTCAAATTGCAGCCCCTGATGCAAAACGTTAACCCCTTGCTGCCTGGAGCACACCATCCATTGATGTGCTCTGCTGGGATCAACAGGTGTTGCTGGTGTTAAGCGGTGGGGAAATCTGCACTCTCTTGATGCCTCAAGACTTCCACTGAAGGAAGCTGGGAGAACTGTGCAAAAGTGAGGGTGACCGCAGCCTGCTTCATCTAGGACACCCAGGAACCCACCCTGGGGTGCAGGTAAAAATATGGGCATAGGAAACTGCCTCAAACCAGTCAGACCACTGATCCTTCTAGCTCAGTACAGTGGTACCTTAGGTTAAGAACTTAATTAGTCCTGGAGGTCCGTTCTTAACCTGAAACTGTTCTTAACCTGAGGTACCACTTTAGCTAATGGGGCCTCCCGCTACCGCCGCGCGATTTCTGTTCTCATCCTGAAGCAAAGTTCTTAACCCAAAGTACTATTTCTGGGTTAGCAGAGTCTGTAACCTGAAGCGTCTGTAACCCGAGGTACCACTATACTGTCTACTCTGACTGGCAGGGAATCACCAGGGTTACAAATATGGGCCTTACCCAGTCCTACCTGGAGATAGCGAGGACTGAACCTGGGACTTCCAGCCTGCTAAGCTAGTGTTCAGCCACTAAGGTACAGACAGCCCACCTCACAGCCCCTGAAGCAGAAGAATGGGTTACTGTCTTGAAGGAAATACCATGTTTTGTCTAGCTGATTGTCCAGATTTTCTATGACTATTATTACATTGACATCCCATTCTTCCTCCAAGGAGCTCACGTAATATACAAGGTTCTCGCAGTCGTCCTCACAACAACCCTACGAGGTAGGTTACACTGAAAGATAGTGACTGGCCAAGGTCACCCAGTGAGCTTCAGAGGCGAAAGGGAATGTGAACCCTGGTCTCCCAGGTCCTATTCCAACACCCCACTTGCACTCATTCTGCATTAGTGGCAAGAGGGTTCCCACACCTGGGGCTTCATCGTTTCCACACAAGCACAGAAAAGGCACGGAATTTGGGTCTGGATGCAGAATTCAGCACCCGTGTTTCTGGTCCTGAACACTCTGAAAATAATAATCATAAACAATATTCTCTGGAGCTCCATCCATTGCCATGTTATAATCCTCACAACAACCCGGTAGGGTAGGCCTCCATTTGCATTTTACAGTTCTGAGGCTGAGAAGAGAAGAACTTGCCAGGTGCAGAATTCATAGCAGGAGGGATCTGAATGGAGACTGGACTCATTGGTTACACCAGCTTGAAAGTCTGTAGAGGATCATACCTGGGAAATGTCTGCAGCCAGATGGGGGGCTGAACAGGATTCCCGTCAGCTGCTTGACACAGCATCTGCTTTGCATGCGGAAGGTTGCAGGTTCAATCCCCAACAGCATCTCCAGTTAGGACTGGGAGAGAACCCTTCCTTAAACCCTGGAGAGCCATTGCTACCAATCCGTGCAGACAATATAGAGCTTGGTGAACTAATGCGTCTGATAGCTTCCCTATGTCGGGTCACAATTCCTTGTTTAGAGCCAAGCAATGACTGGAGCGTTGATCGGGGTGACAGCGATCTGGAGAGGGGAGGAAAACACCCCGGTTCCCCCAGGTCAAATATCACTGTGACCAACATCATCTCTTGTCGCACAGGGAAGGGTCCAGGAGAGCCCTGGACAACCATGAAGAAGTAGGCAGGCTTCGATTTTCACCATACATTTTTTGAGCTATTCTTACCCCTTGTGAAATAAACTTTGTCCCAGTTTTTGCAAAAAGGAGGTGAGGAGGTAGACCTGAATTGCACCACTTTAGAGTGGAGGTTTGCCATACAAAATGGTCCTTGCGTTTGGTTTACATGCAGAAGGTCCTAGGTTCAATCTCTCTAGGTAGGGCCAGAAATGTCCCTAACCTGAACCATGAAAAGCTGCTGCCAGTCAGTGTAGACAATACTGAACTAGATGGACCAATGGCCTGACCCAGTATAAGGCAGCAATTTTCTTTGTTCCTCAACAAAAAAAAACCAGACTCCCTGGAGATACAAAGGAAGCCAAGACGGGAACTCTTTCCCCTGACATCTAGGGCTTTTTTGTGGGCAAGGAAATTTTTTTTCAATCATGCAAGCCCCACCCTGCAATCTGAGGAGGGACAACTCTTACCAAGCTCATCAGCTGCTTGTGAGAACTAAGTCTCCCTTGCAACCGGATAACCAATGCCAATTTCATTTGTCACTTTGAATACGGCCACTGAGTGGCAAGATATGCATTTCATACACGAAATAACTATAAGTAACATATAAAGCTTAAACTCAGCAAACAGGTTCCCAGTGCAGCCTTTGATCCAGGGAGATGATGCCGCTTTCTTAGTGGGCCAAGAATCAGGTGTCCTGTGCGTGCGCATGTGAATGGGCGACCCAGGGACTTTTTCATCTACTCAGATACAAGGCTTCACACGAAATCTGCCAGAGTCAGCAAATCCAAAGCAAAGATGCATTAATCAGAGAAGTCAAGGGATGCACGTGCATGTGTGAAACAGCCCTCGCTCGGACAATGCTTGACATCAGTCTTCAGCAAACCCTTGAGGCAGACAGAGCACAGAACAAACACTACACTAGGGTGTTATTCAATAAAGGCCTGTGTTTTAGTACGGCATTACCACCTGCTGTCCAACACACCTGGTTTTAGACATGCGTAAAGTAAAGCAAAGCAGTATTTTAATTTAAGAAAACAAGAATGTGCCAAATGTGTGTCCGTGTGTGTATAATACTATATAAGAGATCCCTGTGTATATAAATAGACCCTGAGTGCTTTCCCTAATTTAAGCTACGATCTATTCCAAAAGAGGGAGGAATTGAAATATGAGCAAAGGTGCTCTGTTGCCAGTTTTGCTTTGCTCCAGGGCTTTTTGGCTGGTAGACCTTAAAGCATCTCTGCATTTATATATATATTTTTAAAAGCCACAGCTAGCATGGCCAATGGTCAGGGATGGTGGGAGTTGTAGTTGAAAACATCTGGAACATTGAGCCCAACCCACTTGCCTCCTTGGTACTCACAAGAGGAGGAACCAACCACAATCCCTGGCTTTAGTGGCAGAACTTGGGACCATGGTTTGTTGCACCCAAAGCAAACCATAATGATAAACCAAAGTTTGTTCTTGCCATACCAGTCATGGTTTACTTAAGCTAAACCAACTATGATCCCTGTGGACTAGATGGGCTATTGGCCTGATCCAGCAGGATCTTCATATGTTCTTACAGTTCAGATGTAGCTTCAGGAATCGTGCTTTGTTTCCTTCCAACATGAATGGTGAGGATCAGAACGGGCACAATGTTCTTGTGTAAACCAAGGTTTCCAGCTAAACATGATGTGTCACCTTGGCCACTATCTTCAGCTGGCCTTTTCCCCTAGTAACGTGTTTGGCATCAATGAAGTGGATTGTCCTCCTATATTCTCAAGGAGCGTCTCCACCCCCATTGTTCAGCCCGGACACTGAGGTCCAGCGCCGAGGGCCTTCTGGCGGTTCCCTCCCTCCGAGAAGTGAGGTTACAGAGAACCAGGCAGAGGGCCTTTTTGGTAGTGGCGCCTGCCCTGTGAAACGCCCTCCCAGCAGATGTCAAGGCAATAAACAACTATTTTACTCTTAAAAGACAACTGAAGGCGGCCCTGTTTAGGGAAGTTTTTAATGTCTGATGCTGTATTGTTTTTAATATTCGGTTGGAAGCTGCCCAGAGTGGCTGGGGAAACCCAGCCACATGGGTGGGGTATAAATAATAAATTATTATTATTATTATTATTATTATTACGCTGGCCACCAACATGGATGGCTTTAAGAGAGGATTAGACAAATTCATGGAGCTTGAGGCTATTAGTGAATGTCAAAGGCGGTTTGCCTCTGTATGCCACTTGCTGGAATCACAGATGGGGAGAATGCTGTTGTGGGATTTCCATAGGTATCTGGTTGGCCACTGTGAGAGCAGGATGCTATGTTAGATGGGCTATACTTATGTTTTTATCTCTCACTCTCAAAAGTTGGGATACAGGCCTGGGCACAGCATGACGTCTCTGGCTTAAATTCTTTGACCAATCGTCATGAACTATGTTGGACCAAAAATACTGTAACCAGTGCGCTTTCCACACTGCGCCTGTCAAAATTGCACAACAGCCCTGTCAACACTGAAAAGGAAAATCAGTTCAACTTCCAAGGGCTGAGCACCAAACATCAACAGATCTGTGGCACACAGAACCTGCAAGCTGCTCTGCTCTGGTAGTAAGTAGCCACTGGCCACAGGTGGTGCAATAAATAAGGACCACTTCAGACAAGCATGTACATCACTTGATTTCTCAACGCTGGATCACCCTCAACTGGAACACTGACTTCTGCAAGCCTCTGACATTTTACAGTTCTCTTGGGGGCGCATGGAACTGTGATGGTGCATCCACACATGCAGGTTGTTTTATCTGATGCCTGCGGTTTCTAAGTGAACCAGGTCTTGATGAGTGGCAGTGGGATGTGTCCACCAACTTGGTATGGGAAGCCCTGGGTCTGAGGGGAACAGGAAGCTCCTGGGATGCTTCCTTCACAGATGCAGGCCACCGTTGGGTGCTGCAGTTTTCAAGTGCAGAACCTGTACATATGAATCAGCCATAGGGTGGCAAAGCGGAGAGGTCTCTGGTTCCATGCATTGCGTGAACCATCACCATTCCAAACTTATCATCCCCAAAGTGGCCTGTAACTTGAACTGCTCATGTGGTGGACAAAATAAGTTCAGATCAACATTCCTAGCTTAAGAAGGAAATGGCTAGAAGTTGTTAACCATAAACAGAGAGGTACTGTGTGGCTCTAGGCATCCTGGAGATCACACCCTATGACTTCAACACGATGCACCAGAATCCCAGAATCCATTCTGCACATGCTCAGATATGCAGGGAAGGGCTGTAGCTCAGTGATAAAGTATCTGCTTTGCACGCAGGTCCCATGTTTAATCTCCAGGTAGGGCAGGGAGAAAGACTGAAATCATGGAGAACCACTGCCAGCCAGTGTAGACAGTAGTGAGCTAGAGGAACCAGTTTGCGATGTTCCTTCCTATGCTGCTACGATTAGCTACATATACAAGATTATCGCTAGACATGGCACTTTGCAGAGTTTCTCACACACAAAAATTCAGGTCCTTGCCCCAAGGAGGTTCCCATCATGTCACATGTGCCAAGCCTGAGATCTGGCACTGAAAACTTGTTTTCAAAGCAGGCTGAGTGCCTCTCAAATAAACAGGGTGAGAAAGAGATACAAAGGCACCAGAATTCTGCAGCACCTTCCAAGACTAACAAAGATTGTTGTGCACCAACTTCCACAGGACAGTCGTTACATCTGGCAGTTTGAGCCGGCAGCCGTCGTCATGCCCTCCAAATGCTGTCAGACCCAAACTCCAATCATCCCTGACCCTGAACACTGGCCATGCTGGCTGGGAGTTGTAGTTCAAGAACCATAGCCCTATGAAAGGGCGGTAGCTCAGGGGTAGAGCACCTGTTTTGCATGCAGAAGGTTCCAGGCCCAATCCCTTGCATCTCCAGGAAGCCAGGTGTTGTTGGACAACAGCTCTCATCATCCCTGGCCAATGGAACTGATGGGAGTTGTAGTACATCAGCATCTGGAGGGGACCACATGGGCTACACTGAGGCAGATGGACACAGGTCTAACTCAGAAGAAGGGAGCTTCCTATGTACATCTGAAGGGCATCAAATTGGCTATCCGTACCAAACTCCATCTGCCCACCTTTGAGATGCCTCCTATGGCAAACTATTCTGGAAGTTGCTTATGCCACTCCAGGCAAACTTTTACACTTGCAAAAACATCATTCCCTCTTGGTTCAGACCAAAGATGCATCTGACCTAGAGATGGGGAACCGCTGGTCTTGCAGACACTGTTCAACTGCAGATCCTGTGATCCATGGGAGCAGGGAACCCAACAGCGTCTAAGGGCCACAGGTCCCCCATCTCTGATCTAGGCCAGCATTATGGATCCCATAATGCAGCAATCCCCTTGATTTTAGCCACACAGGTGATAAGATTCTCCCCATGTCGTTTGCCCCCAGCAATTGAATTCAGAAATACAGTGGCTCTATCTATGGTGCTCCTATTCAGCCACCATGGTCAAAGGAGATCCAAGTGAGAGAATTTTCACCAAGATGCCTGTGCATGTTGATTTTCAACACTGAATACTTCAAATGGGAGGGGGTGTAACTGTGGATCCTTTATGAAGATGCACCTTCCCCAATACTCCAGTCCCCCTCCCTGAACCACCTCAGGACATCCCAGCTGCCCAGCCCTCCCGCGCCCCGGGTGGCCCCGAGGCAATCGACGGTGCTACTAACCTGGCCCGCACAGCCTGCTGAAGTGATAGGGGTTGCAGCACACCGTGGGGCCGTCGGGGAGGCCGAAGCTGCCGCACTCGCACAGGGGCTTCAGCTCGGCCGGGTGCTGGAGGTCCGGCCAGCGGAAGAGCTTCCCCAGCAGGAGGTGCGGAGGAGCCGCCTGACCGCCCAGGCGCACCTCGGCGCGGGAGACAAGGACACAGTCACTGGGCATCCCGCCGCGGGACTCGACGGCTTCGAGGAGGCTGTCGAGGGAGCGCTCCTTGAGGCGCTTCAGGAGTGAGTACGTGACGGCCTTGAGCTCCTGCTCCAGCAGAGAGAGCCTGGAGCGCCCTTCCCGGGCTGGCAGCTCCCGGGGCCGGGGCGAGACGGCGTCAGCGTCGGCGTCCCTCTCCTTGAAGAGGCAGCAGGTGACGGTCATGCCGTCGCTCTCCTGCGCCCACCACGGGCTGTCCCTTTCGAGGCCGCCGTCGGAGCCGCCATCCTCGGCGTCCTCCCGCACTGCTGCTGCTGCTACGGCCGCTGCCTCCTCTTCCACCTCGGGGGGCGCCGGAGGGTCGCCCTCGCCGTGCGCCATGGACCTCTCCAAAGCGCACGGCTCCTCGACGGCGCCTCCGCCGGTCACCGCTCGCCTGCCGCTCGCAGGGGGCTTCTCCGGGCTCCTGCCGTCGCTGCCCCCTCGCTCATGGCTCTTCCTGAGGCTGCCGGTACTACTGCCGGTGGAGCCGCCGCCGCCGCCGCCACCATCTCCTCCTCCTCCCCCTCCTCCGACGCCTTCTCTGTCGGGGAGGACCCGGCTTCTCCAAAGTCGCCGCACAAGCCCTGCCCGTTTGGACCTGAACATACGCTTCGCCCGGCCGCGGAGCTGCTGGCCTTTCCTGGCTCCGGGTCAGATCCTCCCAAACGAGGGCCGCATGAAGGAGACCCAGCAACGACGGCAGCGGCGCCGGCGCCCGGAGCAACCGCGGGGGCTCCTCGCCCGCCCGGCCCAGCCACTCGCCCAGAAGCGCCGGCCGGGCAGCCGCATGGGGGAAGGAGGCAGCAATGGCATAGAGTGGAGCCCCGCAGGCCGGCGTCCTGGCGAGCGGGGGATCCGCCGCAGCCCGCCCCCTCGGCCCTACATGGAGCCCCGAGAGCCAGGAGGGGACGGGGAAGGCTTGCCGGCCCCCCTCCTTGCGAGGGAGCCCTTCCACGAACAAGCGCGCAAGCAAACAAAACAACAAAACTCCCCCAGGCTTTTTCCTTTTCGCCCTGGCAAACCCTCGACGCCGCGGTCCTTCCTTTGCGTCTGGCTGGGGCGCCTTTTAAAAAGTTGCCCCGACGCCTTCCCAAGTTAGAGGCTGGCCGCCCCCCGGGGCAAGGAGCAGGCTGGCGGCGCCGCGCATGGCTTGGCTCGGTACTCAAGATCCCAGCCCGAGAGAAACGCGGCGGCGGCGGCAGGAGAGGCAGCACTGCAGCAGGCGCATGAGAAGAAGCGCCGTCGTCGCCGCCGCCGCTCGGGGAGAAAAGGCGCCCCAAATCCTCCTCGGCGGTCCGGAGCAGCCTCAGCAAATCCACGCCAAGCGAAGCCCTGGGTGCTTGCAGAAGGGCCGGCGAGGCTCCTGGGGGCAGAGGCGTCCACCCAGGGTAGAGCCCCCCGACTTCACTCCTCCTCCTTCTTCCGCCCCCCGGGCTTGGGGGGCCGCCGAGATCTGCCTCCCGAGCAGCGGAGACCCTCGTCGCCTCTCCCTCCCTCTCTCTGTCCCCCCCACTTCTTCCCTCTCTCTCTTTTTTGTTCTTCTAAAACACACACGCAGGGCCCCCTAGGAGAGCGCTGGAGTCATTGGCTCCCTCCCATCATGTGCCAGTCTAGACACTTTGGCGGCGCGGAGCTGCACTGATGGTTGCGCAAACAAGGTTTCAAGTTTCTTAACTCTTAAAGGAAAACGCCTCCCGGTTCTCGCTCGCCTCTCCTGGCTTCTCGCTCCCCCTTCGCTCTCTCTCTCTCTCCGCGCTTCTGGTTTTGGGGCACCCTCTTGGCCCCCACCCCTAAAATAATAATTAAGGGAAGGGAAGGAGCTTCTGTGAGGAAGGCGATTCGCAAAAGAACTAATAATAACAACAATAATAAAAAGAGGCTGGGAAATGGGAGCGAATTATAATAAGTTCCCGTTCCCTTTTGCTTCCTATCTGCTGCGTGCAAATGGCCAAAGTGTTTATTTGTTTATTGGAGGCATTTTTTATCCCGCCTCCTCCAAGGAGCTCCAGGTGGTGTCCACGGGTCTCCCCCTCCTCATTTAATCCCACAACAACCCTGTGAGGTAGGTTAGTGGCCCAAGAGGCAGTGATTCTAAGAATGTCCTCTTTCATTCAATAATAATATTGATAATAATAATATTAATGAACTGGCTGAGCAAGTCTTCATTGAGCTCCTGCATTTGAAGCTCCATAGAATGTTCATCCTTTTTCAATAAATCCCATGGTGATGAATGAGACCTAGTCCCAAGTAAGCATGCAAAATTAATAACCGCAGTGGGAGTTAACTTCTGGGCAGACCTGCCTGAGATCAGGCTACAAGTGCACTAAGTGGGTGTCTACTGGGGTGGGGGACCTGCTCCTATCAGTCCCTTCTGGACTTTTGTTCTGCTCTTGCTCTCAAGTGCAGTATGTCAGTTGTGGCAACTCAATCCCCTGTCTGAGGCTTAACTTTCAGTGGGTACCAGTATAAATGTTATATTTTGCACCCCCTTGGTTCAGTTCCTTTTGTGCAGGAAATGCCCACACTGCCCTAATTCCGGCACTGGTGGGAGTTGTAGTTCAGTAAGATCTGGAAGGTTGCAAGTTGTACATCCTTGGGACACAGCCTTCAAGGCTGCCCAAAACATTGAAGCTGCATGGCAGGTTCTGGGAAACATATACCTTGGGAAGAAAGTGTGCATATTTGCAAGGGATGCTGGGGTATAGCTTCCAAATTGTATTTTCCTGCATGGGATCCCAGCCACTGCACACTGCAAGGCAGGGACCCTGAAGGGACCTCTTGGGTTGCAAACTCCACTGGCGCCCCCAAGCAGCATCACCTTGTGATGTAGGCAGCTGTTCCTCCCGTTTTAACACAGGGGGAAACTGAAGCCGAAAATTCGCATCTCACATAGGTTTGGCTGGGACGTTGAAGCTGCAGTAGGGCAACTTTTTACCCATTGGTTACCTGCAGTTTAGGGCAAATTTCTACACTACACATGATCATAGCAAAAAGGCCGAGAAGCAAGTTTCATTTGTAAGGAAAGTGCTGGACAGAAAATGCCTGCTTGCAAATTGTGTGGGTGCAAACAGTTCAGAAGGAGTCTGAATCCCCATTGCAGCAGTGGATGCAACCACAGGCTCACCTTTAATTATTTAGCAAAAGTCCAAGAAGAGCAGGGGATAAAGCTAAACATGGCTGCCACATTTGGAATCACCATTTGCTTTAAAAGAACAGAAGGGCTGAAGCTCAGAGATAGAGCATATGCCTTGCATACAGAAGATCTCCCTTTTTACTCCCCAGCATCTTGAGGTATGGCTGGGAGAAACCCCTGCCTGAAACCCTGAAGAGGTGAACTGCTGCCAGTCAGTGTAGACAATACTGAGCTAGATGGACCAATGGCCTGACTCAGTATTAGGCTGCTTCCTGTGTTTGCTAGCTGATAAAGACTATGGAAGGGCATTTCTGTCCTCCAAGAATCACACCCTCAATTCAACTCCCTAGATCACACACATCACAACACCACACCCCTTGTTTTGCAAAGACTCATCTGCACACCCCAAACTGCCCTGCAGCAGTGTACAGTGGCTGCAGCTCTCCCTGTGCTTCATCTCATTAATGCAGGGTTGATGTATGTTTTTTAATAGCAGCACCCACAACATATCATTTCAAAGATTGCATTTTTTTTTTAAAAAAATAGTCTGCTCCACGAGGCCCATCTTCATAAAAAAGTGAGGCCCTGGACTGCATAAAATGAGAAGCTATCACCAATGTCCTGTAACACAAAGTGTAAGTACTGTACAGAAATAATCTCAAAATGCAATTTTGGGGGTTTGGATGGTTTCAGAAAGGAGTTGGTTTCTTTTTGTTTTTGAAGCTGTTACCTTGTTTGGATGTAAACTCTCCCAAGCCCAACCCTGCTTGACTCTGGACACAGGACAGAAGTGTCTGCCGCATTGTTGGGGCTAAATAATACTGGGCAGTGCTCATAATATGCAACAGGGCTTGGTATTTCCAAGATTATCTGATGTGCACAGAATAGTCTTAACAAATGCATCGGGGATATTTGCTATATAAACACACATACATTTCTTTCTGTTTGTTGTGTCCTCCTTAGATTATTATATAAAATAATAAAATTGTTATTGTATAAATTTCTCAAATGCCAAAGAAATTGTGGGTTTGCAGGAGACCCAAGCATTGTACTTTCAGAGGTAGTGAGGACCAGATGGGTTTACAGGAGAATCCTCATGCCCTGCTTGTGAAATTTGGAGAGATATTCAATTAGTTGCTGGGTATGTGGACTTTTTATCTTATTCATTCTTTCCTCTATCATATCTTGCAAAGTTGTTCTACAATTGCGCGTGTATGGAAGAGAGAGAAAGGATGAGGTCTTGAAATCTCTGGGTGGGCTGACATTTCTCCCCCCTCCTACTCCCTAGCTTCTAATACCAGGGAAGCCAACTGACCATGATGACCACAAATACCTGCTCCTGTCAGCTGGCTCTGCAGAAAGCAGGCAGTGAAGCCTTTCACAGTATTCAGAAAAACTGTTCTTTTAAGGCACAGGAACAGGACCCAGCAAAACATATTTGGCAACGCCATTCAGCATCAGCGTTTATCCTAAGCAAGTGAAGATATTTCCTGGCTTGTCTATAAGCGGGCTGGGAATCGCTTCGCCTGCTTTATTTATCCCGCCGCCCCCCGCCCCGCCCGGCTGCTGTTCAAGACAGAGGAGCAGGGCCAAGGCAGGCAAGTTGGCAACCCCCTGCTTTAAAAGGGTAGGCTTTGGAAAGACGTTCTCCTCCGGCGCGCCAAGGGTTAAAGCGCCTCTCCTCCGCCGGAGTCAGAGAGGCTGGGCCACGCCTCCGGGATGTATTAACTTGTTCAGGGTGGCAAAAGTTCAGGCTCCGAAAGCCCTGGTTGGCCTTTGGCAGAGGGACACCCCGCCTCCGCAGCGCGTCCATTGGCTCGGTAGGCCGGGGGGGGGGTCTCCGCCTCCTCCAGATCACAGATTGTCCCTGAATGAAATAAATTCCGTTGCTCTCATTGGCTGCTCGCCGCAATATTTATGCAACATTCCTTTCTCTCCCTGTCGGCCGCTGTTTTGAATGAAGTGGCTGCGCAGGCAGCCGAGGCAGCGCCGCCCTGCGCGGCTCAGCTTTTGCCTGCGTGGGGCTTACTCCCAAGTAAAGCGACCCGAGCAGCGATGCGACCCGAGCCTCCGTGCACGTTTACGCTGCAGGAGAAGAGGCGTTTTGAGAAAGGCCATAGCTCAGCGGTAGAGCAGTTGCCTTGCCTGCTGCTGAAATCCTGCCAGTCCGTGCAAACAATACTGAGCTAGATAGGCCCTTGGTCAGACTGTATAAGTTAATTTCCGTGCATAGGATCAAACCCCTGTTCCATGCCCTTCAGACAGAGTTCCCGAAATTCCTGACAGATGAGCCCTACCTTTTAAAAAAAGTCTGATGATTCGTACACCCCAATGTAAAAACTATTTATTTGAGGGTGGGTAGGTTTACCCAATCCCCCAGAGAGCGTAACCACCAGAACTGGCCCACCCGCGAGGAGAGGGGGGTGTCTGCTGGCTGCGGAAGTGGTGGCACATCTGAAAGCGTTGTTGAACAGGGATTGGGAGATGTGTCTCGACCAGCAACTCATTCAGAGATATACAGTGGTACCTCGGGTTACATACACCTCAGGTTACAGACGCTTCAGGTTACAGACTCCGCTAATCCGGAAGTAGTACCTCGGGTTAAGAACTTTACTTCAGGATGAGAACAGAAATTGCGTGGCAGCGGCATCGCGGCAGCAGGAGGCCCCATTAGTTAAAGTGGTGCTTCAGGTTAAGAACAGTTTCAGGTTAAGAACGGACCTCCGGAACGAATTAAGTTCTTAACCCGAGGTACCACTGTAGTGGGAAGTTGCCTCTTCTGAGGCTGAGTGATTCTGTTGCAACCCTGCAATGGGAACAGTTGTATAATTCAATCGCATGGCAGAATGATTTCCCCCACCCCAAATGTGGACTGAAGCAAGCAAGGCTAGAGTAGGGAATCATGGAGAGAGGCTGGAGACAGCCTCCTCTGTATTTGGCTGCTTTGGATTTTCATTAATTGGGTAGCACAATCAAGGGATAACTTTCACGGTATGAGAGAGCACTGGAGATTTAGGGTGAATTAGTACCATTTATGTTTTTTGACAGATACGCCAACAAAGCAAAAAGGTAAAGGGACCTCTGACCATTAGGTCCGGTCATGGCCGACTCTGGGGTTGCGGCGCTCATCTCGCTTTATTGGCCGAGGAAGCTGGCGTACAGCTTCCGGGTCATGTGGCCAGCATGACTAAGCTGCTTCTGGCGAACCAGAGCAGCGCACGGAAACGCCGTTTACCTTCCCGCCGGAGCGGTACTTATTTATCTACTTGCACTTTGACATGCTTTCGAACTGCTAGGTTGGCAGGAGCAGGGACCAAGCAATGGGAGCTCACCCCGTCGCAGGGATTTGAACCCCCGACCTTCTGATCGGTAAGTCCTAGGCTCTGCGGTTTAACCCACAATGCCACCCACGTCCCTAAACAAAGCATAGTACAAAGAAATAAGCACTGGGAGCAGGTAGCACAACCAGTGATCCTGCCTCAGTTTTCTAGAAAGTCACTTTTCTACACATGCACCCAGTGTTTTGGTTTTTTTTCTAAAAAAAATGTTTAGGGGTACTCTCACTTTGACTTAAGAAAACCACCATTTTATAGTTCAAATCGGGTGAAATAAATACAGTAAATGGACAAAAGTACAACGATTCACAAAATGCTTAGGGGTATGCGTCCCCTCAGAAAAAAAGCACTGCTTGTACCTCAGTGTTACACACCAGTTGTACTCTTTACAAAGATCTATGTCCACCTCTCTAAACTTAAACTGCAAAACTGTTTCCTATCCCACTAACTGGAGGGTCTAAACTTCCTAAGCTCTGATGGGACAGTGCTTTCCAATGGCTGGAAAGAGATTCCCAGCTATCAAGAAACATCACAGTTCTTTTGTTAAAATCTGAAATCGGTTGCCCATTCAGATTAATTAGACAGCCAAAACCCAAACCACTGATTTACACTTCAACCACCCTCTGTTTAAAACTGGTTCCAGCTGAGCTTTTATGTGGAGAACTACAGCTATACAGCAGTACCTTGGGTTAAGTACTTAATTCATTCCAGAGGTCCGTACTTAACCTGAAACTGTTCTTAACCTGAAGCACCACTTTAGCTAATGGGGCCTTCTACTGCTGCCGCACCGCCGGAGCACGATTTCTGTTCTTATCCTGAAGCAAAGTTCTTAACCTGAAGCACTATTTCTGGCTTTGCGGAGTCTGTAACCTGAAGCGTATGTAACCTGAAGCGTATGTAACCCGAGGTACCACTGTATAAATGTATGATAAATACCAGTGATACATTGAATAACTAAACTGCAATTTAGTAATCTATTGTAATTACTATGCAGGAATAATCAACTGGTGCATTCCGGAAGGGTTTGGACTACAACTCCCATCACCCCAGACCATTGGCCATGCTGGCTGGGGCTGATGGGAGTTGTAGTCTACAACATCTGGATGGCTATCCCTGGACTACAGCTTTTGTCTATGTGAGATGGGCAAGTTCTGCATTACCATCTCTGTTCGCTAGGAGGTAGATGAGCAGCTCATCCTCATACAATGTTTTTGAGGAATCCTTGAAATGTGTTTTAAAACCTTTGATACAAATGTCTTTTTCTAAACAACAACTACAACCATCCCAAACTAAATTTGATACTTAAAGCCATCAAGGCTTGCATAAAATATAAGCAATTTGTTCCACACAAGCAACATGGAAACCAAACACTTGATTTTTGCCCCCCTCCGGTTGTGTAACATTTTGTACTATTGATTATAAGATTCTATCAGACACTTGAGCAACAGACATTGACGGTTTCCTTTGCAAGATTTCCCTCAAAAACCAGAAAGACAAGCTAGTGTTACGGAAGTAGAAATAGCTTGCCTAATTTTTTAAAAAAGAATGTTATATCAATAACTTGACATATTTCCTGGCAGCACTTTAAAGACTTGTGGGCTGATTTTCTTTCATTTTTAAAATCAAACTTGAGACACACACATAGGAAGAAGGCATGCCAGAACTAGCTATCCACATAAAATTGGTTTGTTAAGTTAAATTTATATCCCACCCTTCCTCCCAAAGGAGCACAGGGCGGCAAACATCAAATTATTAAAATCAAATGCCTGGGTAAAGTGGAATACTGGGGAGGGCAATCCACAAACAGAACCACCACCAAGAAGGCCCTGTGTATGGTGCAGTGGTTAGAGTGTTGTACTAGGATCTGGGAGACCAGGGTTCAAATCCTCACTCAGTCATGAAGCTCACAGGGTGTCCTTGGGCTAGTTGCTGCCTCTTAGCCTAACCTACCCCACAGGGTTGTTATGGGGATTAGATGAGCAGGGAGAACCATGTACACCACCTGAAGCTCCTTGGAGAAAGAGGTGCAATATAAATGCAATAAATAATAGAATTGTGGAATTGGAAGGGACCCTGAGGATCATCCAGTCCAGCCCCCTGCAATATGCAGCTGTCTCAAATGGGGATTGAACCTGCAACCTTGGCGTTATCAACACCACGCTCTAACGGATCGAGCTATCCAATAAATGAAATAAAGAAACAAACCAAGCAGCAGTCAGAAGCACCCCACCCATCAGAGCCTCCCCTTCTGTTTGTAGGGCGTGAGATATGGTTTGGGGAGTGAATAAATGTATCTGACCCAAAAGGGATCTAAAATCCTAACTGGTGTGATCAGTGATGCTGAGCATCACGGACGATCAGCTGTGGTGACTGAAAACACTTCCTCACACTTCCCAGGTGGCAGGAGGTTCCAAGGGCTGCCTTTCTGTTTTGTGCAGAAACAGTGCTATGTAGAGGGGCCACAGCCCAGTGGTAGAGCATCTGTCTTGCATACAGAAGGCTCCAGGCTCAGTCCCTGGCATCTGCAGGGAGAACTGCGAATGCACCCTGCCTGAAACACCTGGAGAGCCACTGCTGGTCAGTGTTGACCATGGGTCGGCAAACTAAGGCCCGGGGGCCAGATCTAGCCCAATTGCCTTCTGGATCCAGCCCGCGGATGGTCCGGGAATCGCCGTGTAGATCGGCGTGGGGATTCTGATCGTTTGGGCTCCCTCACACACACCGCGGCGGCGCCTCCTCCCTCCCTCCTCCTGGATTCTCCCCACCGTGCCTAGAGGAGGAAGGGGGCTGGGCTTTGTTGAGCCGTGGTTGGCTGAGCGCCATTTTCAGCAGCCCCTCTCCAGAGCCAGCCCTTTTGCACCACTCATCATCCCTCCACCACCGCCAGCCCCTGCCACTTGCAAGGCACAGGTAAGCAGCCACCGGGGCTTGTCTGGTGCTGTGGAGAAGGGAGGGGAGAGTCGGTGGGGGGATTCCCCCCCAAAAAATATATAGTCCGCCCCCCCCACAAGGTCTGAGGGACAGTGGACCGGCCCCCTGCGAAAAAAGTTTGCTGACCCCTGGTGTAGACCATACTGAGTTAGATGGACCAGTGATTTGATGCAGTGTAAGGCAGCATTCTTGAAACTGCTGGCCCTAACCATGTATTTGCAGGGGCTGAGGGTTGGAATCTGAACCAAGGGCCTTGTTTAAATAAATTATCTGTTATTGTTTTGGCAGGCAAAGCATAAAGCTTCTTCAACACCGTATAATCACCCAGCATGCAAGAAGGCATCGTCGAAGACAATGGAGCTTTCATAGCAATGCAGGGCCACAATCGCAGTAAGCTATGCAGAAGCTGTCCCAGAGATGTGCAACTCTATATAAAGCATCCCAGGACAAAATCAGGATATATTTAAAGGATCTAGCAGAGGATATATTTAAAATGAATCTTAACTCTTACAGATGCATTTTAAATTCAGTAACATTTAGTGCCAGTTTGCCAAATTAATTATTACACCCTTGTTTGTGGGTTGGTTTTTCCACTTCGCCTCTAAGGCTGCTATCCTGTGCAAACTTACTTGGGAAGAACCCCAACTGAAACATGGTGCAATTTATTTCCCAGTAATCATCAAGCATAGGATCGGGTTGCCCAGAGACAGCCATTATGTGGGGGAGGTCAGGGCAACTTGGAGGCATCAGATTAGAATGCAAGTTCCCATTTTTGCAAGCAAAAGCAATGTGCAAGAATGTCTCACACAAATTAATTTTGTCTCCTGCAGAAATGTCCCTCTGTCTTCTTAACGTAAAAGCTTATTCATGCATTATGATGGAATTTGCTTAGAGGAGCTGATCGGAGCCAGCTATAGCAGGCATGCTTTGTAGAAAAAAGAAAAAAACAATTCCTCCCTTGGAAAACACAAAGGCAGGCAGACAGGCTGGCCTGGCGGCTTCCCTCCCTCCTTCGCCTCTCATATCAGCTGCCTTGGGCAATAAGTTCTGTTGTGGCAGCTCTCGCTGAAGAGGTTGGCGTCTGGTACATTTCAGAGCAGACGCCAGTCACTCCAAGCGAGAGCCACTTATACCAACTCAGTAAATATTTTGTGCAGTGCTGCTGCTGCAGTCTTAAAGGGAGGGAGGAAGGGGTTGGGGTTGCAGTGGGGGTCGCTTCACAACAGGGAATCTCCTGGAACAGAGAGCACCTTGATAAGGCAGGTGCTGGGAGCGGGGCTGTACTCAGTAAAGCAGGGTGGGCGAGTCGCAGAAGCTCAAGATCGATTTCTCCGCCCTCCTGGACTGCAAACTTTTTGTATGACCTTGGGCAAGGTCACATGGGCCTCTAAGTATTCAGAGAGGAGCACATGTCAGCAGCGCATATGGCTTCGGTGCTGCTCAGGGGATAGAGGGGTAATAGCACCAATCCTAGGCATAGCTTGTCAGAAGCAAGTGCTTCCAAGTTCTGCGGCACGTACTCCTGAGAAAACATGCATAATAGGAGCCCTACTGAAAGGCTCTGTCATAGCTTCTGTGGTGCAACTAGGAATGGGCAAATGTTGGTGGCTCTCATTTTGCAATCTGAAGTTCAGTTCTCCACATTTCCATATCAGTTTGTGAATTTTTGTTAAAACTCACCAGGGTTCTAGTGCAAATTTCCCCTAATACAGTGGTACCTCTGGTTAAGAACTTAATTCGTTCCGGAGGTCCGTTCTTAACCTGAAACTGTTCTTAACCTGAAGCACCACTTTAGCTAATGGGGCCTCCCACTGCCGCCGCACGATTTCTGTTCTCATCCTGAAGTAAAGTTCTTAACCCGAGGTACTACTTCCGGATTAGCAGAGTCTGTTACCTGAAGTGTTTGTAACCCAAAGCATTGGTAACCTGAGATACCACGGTATACACATTTTTATAGTGTGTTTTGGCATGTTATTTTCACAAATACATGCATCTTTATGCCCCCTCTTGCCTCATTACAGTGGTACCTCAGGTTGCATACGCTTCAGGTTACATACGCTTCAGGTTACAGACTCCGCTAACCCAGAAATATTACCTCGGGTTAAGAACTTTGCTTCAGGATGAGAACAAAAATTGTGCTCTGGTGGCGTGGCGGCAGCAGGAGGCCCCATTAGCTAAAGTGGTGCTTCAGGTTAAGAACAGTTTCAGGTTAAGAACGGACCTCCAGAACGAATTAAGTTCTTAACCTGAGGTACCACTGTATGTGCATCTTTCTGCATGTGATTTGGCTGGAGAATTGCAACATTGAAGAAGCCAGTTTCGCTTTGTGCCCTGTTACAGGAAATGCGAATTAGATAGGTTTGCCTGGATTGATTTCTCCCCCTAGCCCTTAGGTGTGACTATGTTGGAATAAGCTGAATCATATGGTAATGAGGGATTTCAAGATGTCACTAGGGGTGGATCATGCCTGGTATTAAGAACATGATTGAGCAGGACAGAAGGTTTCAAGCATCATCAGCATAAACCCTGTTCACCCGAGGGGGAGAGGAGAGAAGAAGAAACCAATACAAGCTGATGAAGGCAAAAAAGGGACCTATCCCCCTTTTCAGTTTTCAGCCCAAGGGCCACTTTCCAGGGGCCATATGCTGGAAAGTGCCAGCAGCAAAAGCGGCTGTTGGGGGGATGCAACTCTCTTATTATTTTGCTCTAGGCTGCATTCCAGCAAAAGTCAGAGGTCCCTACACACCGACTGCCCACGTATCTTTCCATCCAGAGAAGCAAGGCTGCAGTCACACACCAGGCCTGAGGCACCCCTGCTTTATACCATAAGACAAGGAATGGGGAATCTCAGGTTCAGGGACCAAACACAACCTTCTAAGGCTTCTTCATTTTGACCCTTAGAACTCTCCCTATGGGACGCCCCCTCCCCTGGCCACCAACCCCTGAGTGCCTCAGCCTGGCTGAAATGTTTGTGTGTGTGTATACATAAAATACATTAAGAATCAAAATAATAATCAAAATATACCCTGCCCATCTGGCTGGGTTTCCCCAGCCACTCTGAGTGGCTTCTACATTTAAAAACTTAAGAAAATATCAGACATTAAAAACTACCTAATACAGGGCTGCCTTCAGGTGTCTTCTAAAGGTTGTGTAGTTCTTTATCTCCTTGACATCTTGATGGGAGGGCATTCCACAGGGCAGGTACCACTGCTGGCTCCCCGTAACCTCACTTCTCTCAGTGAGGGAAACGCCAGAAGACCCTCAGAGGAGGACCCCAGTGTCTGGGCTGAACGATGGGGGTGAAGACGATCCTTCAGGTATACTGGGCCGAGGCCGTTTAGGGCTTTAAAGGTCAGCACTAACCTAGTCTACAGAACAAGACTAATAAAAAGAAAAAAACCAAAAATAAGGAGAGAAAGAGAGAAAATATAACCATAAAACCCTTTATCATACAGTGGTACCTCAGGTTAAGAACTGGAGGTCTGTTCTTAACCTGAAACTGTTCTTAACCTGAAGCACCACTTTAGCTAATGGGGCCTCCCGCTGCTGCCGTGCCGCTGCTGCACGATTTCTGTTCTCATCCTGAAGCAAAGTTCTTAACCTGAGGTACTATTTCTGGGTTAGCGGAGTCTGTAACCTGAAGCATCTGTAAACTGAAGAGTCTGTAACCCGAGGTAGCACTGTATTTATATCTCATATATCCTATCCTTTATCCACACACAGTGAAGTAGACCTTCCCATCTTCCACCTAGGAGCTTACCATATTTTTTGCTCTATAAGACTCACTTTTTCCCTCCTAAAAAGTAAGGGGAAATGTGTGTGCGTCTTATGGAGCGAATGCAGGCTGCGCAGTTATCCCAGAAGCCAGAACAGCAAGAGGGATTGCTGCTTTCACTGCACAGTGATCCCTCTTGCTGTTCTGGCTTCTGAGATTCAGAATATTTTTTTTCTTGTTTTCCTCCTCCAAAAACTAGGTGCGTCTTGTGGTCTGGTGCGTCTTATAGAGCGAAAAATACAGTACTTCTTCTCCCAGTCTCTCACCCAGGGAGACTCTTTTTACCCTGCCTTTTATGCAGGGGCCTTCCTCCTCTGACTGTCCCCTTCGTGCGTGTGCCCTCCTCAGTCCAAGATTAAGGACTGCTCAAATGTCTGACGATGTCTCTTACTCGCTCGGACGGAGAGGTGTGTCTGTGTGCAAACCTCTGACTTCCGTACGGCTGGAATGCAGCCTATTGTAAGAGTCACGCACATCGTTCCACCCACGGTTGGCATGTGGCCTCTGGAAGCTTGTCCGTGAGGGAATGCGGCCCTCAGGCTGAATAAGTTTCCCCACCTGAGCCATAAAGGAAGAGGAGTGCCTGCCTTTCTCTTCTTCTTCTCAGTCTTCATAATGTTGCTGGCATTGTCCGCTGTCAAAATTCAGCTTGTAAGCTCCTGAGGGCAGGAAGTAATCTCACCTTTCCTTACATTGTTCTGCAAAGCTCCAGCTATATCAGCGCTACTATAGAAAGTTGATTAGGATGATTAATAAAAATAATAATTGTAGTGCCAACAGAAACAGAGCAAACGTGTTTTACGTGAGGCCTGTCCATGGCA